CCGAGTACCAAAACTTTTTCGCGACATTATCCGAAAGCTGTGATAGTATACAGTCAAACTATCCACAGGCGGAAATTGTCTTTTTAGGCGATTTCAACGTCCACAATATACCCTGGCTGAAACACCACAACAAAACAGATAACGAAGGCAGAGAAGCAGAAGCTTTTGCCATAAGTTGTGGTCTAACGCAGCTTGTCGATGAACCTACCCGTATCTCAGAAAGGGGCGAATTTGCAGCGCTTTTAGACTTGTTCCTAACCACAAATCCTGACTCGTACACAATTCAAGTAGATGCTCCACTTGGTTCGTCCGATCATAAACTTATAATAACAAAGTGCGAAATGCTCATCCCACCAAGCCTACAACCACTTCCTCGTAAAATGTGGCACTATAAATCGGCAAAATGGAATGACCTAAAACAGTATTACCTGGATTTTCCATGGCAAGAGGTTTGCTTTAAAACAGCTGATCCCACTATTTGCTGTAATGAAATAACACAAGTAATCTTATCTGGAATGGACGCATATATCCCACATACAACTAAACGTAGAGCTAATGCTAAACCTTGGTTCAACAGCCAGTGTCAAACGGCTGTACAGAAAAAACACAGAGCATATAACCTTTGGAAACGACAACAAACCGCTCAAAACCACACAGAATTTATAGAAGCCAGAAATAGTTGCAAAATTACTATTGACTCCGCTAAAGAAACATACAATCAAAGAATAAAAAACAGGTTGCTGAATTGTCCAAGTAGTTCTAGGTCTTTTTGGTCTCTTGCAAAAGCTGTTGGATCTAACTTCACCAAGTCATCCATACCACCACTTACAGATAAAAATAATCACTTAGCCACAACATCAGAGGAAAAAGCCAATATGCTTGCCCAAATGTTTTCCTCCAACTCCAACCTAACAGTGCCAAACGGAAAAACTCCACCGTTCATTGAAAGGGTTTCCCATAGTATGCCAGAGGTACCCTTTTGTCACAGAGAAATACGAAAATCCCTAAAAAAGCTGGATACAAACAAAGCAATGGGTCCGGATGGCATTCCCGCAATAGTACTCAAAAATTGCGCCAACGAACTCACCCCAACTTTCGCAAAATTATTCAATTTGTCTTACAGGCAAGGAGTATATCCATCATCATGGAAGTCTGCCGCAGTACAACCCATTCCAAAGAAAGGAAAAAAGACAGATCCGTTAAACTATAGACCAATTGCTCTACTTCCGGTGATATCAAAAGTAATGGAAAGAGTTGTGAACAATCACCTAACCAAGTACTTGGAAAAGTACAAAATTATCAACGATAAGCAATACGGATTTCGAAAATATAGATCAACTGGCGATTTACTTACATACGTCACTCACTTATGGCAAAAAGCGATTGAGTTGCGGGGTGAAACAAGAACAATTGCCTTAGATATATCTAAAGCATTCGACAAAGTTTGGCATGAAAATCTTCTCAACAAGCTCAAAGCAATGGGATTATCGCCGAAACTTTGCACTTGGTTTGAAAGTTACCTAAAGGACAGATCCATTTATGTTGCACTGGATGGCCAGAACTCCAACTCTTACCAAATAAATGCTGGCGTGCCACAGGGAGCAATCCTTTCGCCAACTCTTTTCCTAATTTACATAAATGACCTCATAGATAAAACAGTAAATCCACTTTATTGCTTTGCAGACGATGGTAATGTAGTCTCCTCACTCATACCACCCACAGGGCTTTCCGCACGTGAATTCCATCATCTTAGACTAACTCAAATATCGCAGATAAATAACGACCTGGAGATAATAGAGGACTGGGGTAACAAAAACCTTGTACAGTTCAATGCGCAGAAAACCCAAGCAGCTCTGTTTTCAAAAAAGACCAGCACCGGTGAGCCAAACATCATGCTATCTGGAAGTGCTGTCACATTACAGAGTCAGTTGAACATCTTGGGGGTTACTGCAGAGACCAACATGTCTTGGCACAGTCACGTGGCAGATATTGCTAAAAGGGCCTCCCAAAAGCTGGGGGTGCTATTTCGTACAAGACATCTGTACACACCAAGCCAATTGCTGACACTCTACAAAGCCCAGATTCGACCAACTATGGAGTACTGCTCACATATATGGAGTGCTGCACCCAAACATACCTTAATGCTTTTGAATACCGTGCAAAAACGAGCTATCAAGCTGATCAATGACCCCGCACTTACTCGTAACTTGGATGGTCTCGAACATCGCAGATCTGTGGGCGATTTATCTCTCTTCTACAGGTACTATCACGGAAAATGCTCTGAAGAGTTGGCACGTATGATTCCACCGAGAGTAGCACCTACCAGGCGAACGCGTCAAACAGACGGTAACCATGAATTTACTGTCAAACTAGAGGCACCAAGAACCTCACTATATCAGAATTCATATCTCTGGAGAACAGCATCGCTGTGGAATAAACTCCCTGCGACGGTTTTCCCTGCAGGTTACAACCTGAACCGTTTCAAGACCAACATACACCGACATTTCCGCGCACTTGCCGCTTCTCGAGCGTGATAGGACATTGTCCTTGCGAGTGCGCATATCCGTAAAAAAAAAAAAAAAAAAAAAAAAAAAAAAAAAAAAATTAAATAGTTATAAATAACAAAGTCAGGACAAAAATCATATCAAGGAATCTGTATCAAATATTCGCTGAACATCCTATAAAACACGTGCACATTAGATTCATTTTTAATTTCATTGCGCAGAGCATTTAAAAGGCAAACACCCTCGTGAAAAAGAGTCTTTTGCAGTACCGTTGTTTTTACTTCCGGTACATGATAATTTGATTCAGTACAGACATTGTAAGAGTGAATATTACTTCTTACCAAAAAAAAATAAGTATTCTGGTTCCAATTCCTTTTCTATTTTATAAATTAATAGCATATTTGTCTTTTCAACGCACTGCTCCACAGATAGCCATCCCAGGCCATCCAAGATACAGGGTGATTCAAGGAACCCCAGAAATAGTTAAAATAGTATAAAGTTACTCTTAACAAAGTTATTAGAAGAACACGGAGTGGTAAAATTGGCAATATCTTGGATTACCTCTGTTCCAATAATTAAATTTGTGCCTGGTCCTGATTTTTTTACCTTAAGCGATACTACCTACCAACTTACCTAATTAATATCTTAGGAGGTAAATGCCACATTCATTTTTTGGATTTTTTAAAGGTAGAGATTTTACAGTGTGCAAAATTTATTTTTAAAGGTAGAATCCAACTAATATGATCTTTTTTGTCATAGATCAATGAAAGACACCTGGAACTTTATAGGGAATATCGCAGTTTAAAAAAAATCGGAAATAAAGAAGTTGACTTCTCAACTTTACTCCTTGATATCACGAAGATTGGTAGAGGAGGATTTTTTTCACTATTTTTGTGGGGTTCCCTGAAGGATCCCCTACGGCGTAGTGTGTAACAAATATCTATCACATCCTAGGAGTTTTCTCATAGCTTTATTTTGCTGAATTTGAAGCCTATTATTTGTGCTATCATTGTTACATGATACAAGTAATGATATACAATATTTAAAGACAATGATATTACATATACACGAGTTTTTTTGGCCATGAAGACAGGTACACAGATATTCGCCTGAAAAACCCAACCTTTTTACCTATTTTCTTACAGAGGTAGTCCACATACCTATAAAAAGCTAGCTGTAATTCCAAGTAGATTCCTAAATATTTAATTTCATGTTTAACTTAACACTAAGAAAATTATTGTCACTGGTACTTTTGTTTTTCAAACTACTAACAACTTTGTTGAGTGTCGGAGATGTGATTCTCTTAAACGTTAAGAAATTTGTTTCTCTATACTCAGGCCTTTCACTATAGAGAGCTCTGGTTGTTCCTATAACCGGTTGGAAAGTTGATTAGGCAAATAGATGTTGCTTTCTTCTTCATGTCCATAAAGTCTTGGGTCTTTTTATCAGCTGAGTCCATCAATATATTTGTCCAATTAATGTTTGGGTAGATGAAATCTCCAAATAAAAATTTTGGACTTTTGGCAGCAAACGCATTCCTGGCCTGTAGATACATCCAACAAGAATTTTAAAATTTTCTTTTCGCAATTCTAACCATAATTAATGTCTGTATAAATCTAATTATACTGCATCAACTGGTGCTTCGAATTTGACAATTTTGTAAAAGACAGCAGCACAGAATAAGACGCACCCACCTAAATTTAAAACATTGTCTTCTTATAACCATTTCTTTGTAAGCATGACTAGGGTGGAACAGTTTACCAACTTCCCACTGATGATAAATTGCTATAAGTATAAAATGAGGTTTCAACGACCTCTGTTCTATTTAGCGTTTTGCATTTTTTTCAATTACATATATTGCATACGTTAATGGGCCTCACTGGGAAATTATAGTCGTATTTTGTTTTCTGAACAATTAATATTTCGACTTGAATTTGTTCAGATGTTTAACATAAATATTACAATTATTATATTTTTGTACCAAGCTTAAAGTCAACACATGCCGATATTTGAAAATCTGCAGTGTACTTTGCAACTTTTCTTACTTTTAGCCTTGTGGGTTACAAACTAGAAAAGTGTCCACACTTTGTTGTACAATATACATACAAAGTACAGAAGAAAATTGCGTATTTTCAAATTTGACGCACTTCACGTGTAAAAATAGCTCGTGACAATAATTAATGTGAATTACATCAGAAAACTCGTACTTTTCGACTAATTTTCCAATAATGTAATTGCCTCATTTCAGTTATTAGAACATTGTATTTAAGTTCCATTAAATCAGTTTTGTTTCGAAACAGAAAATTGAAACCAACTAAATTTAATTTTACTAAGAACTTAGTGTGCTGAAATTACTCCAGTTTACAACCATTAAAATGCCAAATTGCAATTAACGCTTCTTGCCAACAGATGTTGGTGGTATAAACAAAAATAATTAACTCTAATATTTATATTTTTTGTGGCCTCTTTTTAATTTAAGTAATTGTTTTGTTTCAGTTAAATGTGCCCTAAACCTATTCCAATGCAACTCCGGCCAATGTATCCCGCTAAACTGGCACTGCGACTCGCACAGAGACTGTGACGATGGCTCCGACGAACCCGAAGGCTGCGTTACTGCTCAGTGCAAACCTGAACAGTTTCGTTGTGCACTGACTCAAAAATGTCTGCCAAATGGCTGGGTGTGCGACGACGAACAAGATTGCGGAGTGCATCCGGAATTGGGCCCAGATAAGTCCGACGAAGATCCGAAACATTGCAAACCCACTCATTGTAGATGGAACGAAGCCCCGTGTCCAGATGGTCCGGCTTGTGCTCATTTGGATTTGTTTTGCGATGGTCAATTGGGCGGTTGTCCTGGGAATAGTGACGAATGGGATTTTTGTACTAATAAATCGTTGTCTTGCGATAGGATGCAGTGTACTTACAAGTGCAAACCTACACCACAAGGTTGGAATTTGATATTTATTAATTAAATAATTAAATAAATTAATTTGTATAGGTGCTCAATGCTACTGTCCTCAAGGAAAGCGCCCAGAAGGCAACAACTGTTTGGATGCTGACGAGTGCCAATATGACGATACTTGCTCTCAAGTTTGCAACAATGTGGTTGGATCCTATAAATGTTCCTGCGTTTCTGGATATTATCAGAACGGCACTGATTGTATTGCAATAAATGGTAAGTGAAAAAAAAAATGCAACAAAGACGCGATTTGTTTCAAGGGGACATTCAAAAGTTGCAATGGCTTTGGAAAGTTTTGGCCCAATGCCCGACTAGTTTAATGCTCGATTCGAGATTTGGATTTATAGTAGGGTTTAATGTGTATCCTGGATAATAAAAATTGCTGGCCGTTTATTTGTCAAAGATATTGGCGTAGGCATGTTTTATGTGCCAGAATAACTTATAATTACAATATTTTTATCTTTTAAAGGAAACTTATGTTTTATTCAACTTGGAATTTTTAATATTTAAATTAGTACTTAGCTTTTTTGTATGAATAATTTAGTTATCCGTTGAGACTAGACAGTGATAATGTTATTCTGCAAATATTCACTCTCAGTTTTAAAGTTTATTCCTCGGTTTATTCGATAAGTTGTTTTTGCTATGTACCTAAATGTTAACAAACCCATTTCTAAGTCTCATTGTTCTGCTGAATGCACTTGATGGCATATCGATCAAATTGTTTTCTGAGCTTCCAGATAATGCCATGTCTTTTTTGGCGAAGTGGAAGAATATGTCTTCCATTGATGCTATCTTTCCTGATTGCTTGAAAAAGGCTGTAGTTGTGCCTTTGTTCAAAAGTGGGGATCAAGATGATGCTAGCAACTACAGGCCTATAGCGTTAAAACCCACGTTGTCTAAAATAAAGATGGCCTAAGAACAAAAACACAACTCTCTAGAAATGCTGTTAGCTGCCATTACGACTCTATAGTCCTCACTGAATTCCTCTTCCAACAATTCCGAATTACAGCAACTTTCAGTCTTCGAATATACCGGCTGCAAACTTTATTGAATTTGAGCAAAAATATGGATCTACTGTATTTGTCACGGTTGTGAGATGGTGATCGAATCAGCATATATCCCTCCAAGTTCCCGTAAAATGACTTACAGGTCATTTGTAACAGTATTATCATATTCGGCTGCTTCAATCTTCCCAATGTCATCTGGATTGCAGAGGATGATTTTCTGGTGCCGGATTTACTCACTCCTTGGCCAAGCAAACTCTGATACATAATAGTATATTCTCCATGGAACTTCAACAACTTAACAAGGTGAATAGCAGCTACTACAATAGATCCCTGGATCTTATTTTCGCAACTGAACTTTCTCTACCTGTGATCAAAACCAGTGACTTTCCGCTGTATATGGGTGTTTGATATACATACATCCACTTTTAGAGATTAGTTTCTCATACGAAAGTAGACAATTGAACAAGCGAACTATACGGAACTCAACAATTACTTCAACAGTATTAACTGGAATCCGTGTTGAGTAATAGTGACTCTAACCAAGCGGTCGCTAGTTTGTACGAAGTTATACACGAAGGAATTAACCAGTATGTTCCCAAAAAAAAAAAACCATTAAGGTTGACAAATATCCCAATTGGTTCAACTCTGAGCTAAAAAAGTTAAGCACCACGTCAGGGACCCGTCGCGTCGTATAATATATGTTTTCGTTCTCCCCTCTGCTTCTTCATACGTTGCCAAAGTTCATTCATTTGTCGCACTTTATAAGATCTTTGCAGAGAGATTCAGGCTTGCCTAATCAGATGCACTTTAACAATATCCGTTCTTCGAATCATCACCAGATTGCTAAGCTCTTTGCCACACACTTTAAGAATTGTTACTCTGACCACAAGGATGTTGCGATGCTATGTGTGAGCTGGTTGGCCAGATAACCACGTACCATGATAATGAAAAAAAAAAAAGATATGTGTGCGGTGTCAGAGGGGTCGTGTTTGATGTCTTTAGATCATATCTGATGGATAGGAAACAAATACTTAAACAATCAGAAACTCATACAGTGAACCTATGAGCGTTGTTATGAGAGTTCCTCAAGGAACGGTTCTAAGTACAATTTCATTTATAACCTACTTCAACTCGATTGGCAATCTTCACATCAATGGAAAAACTATCTCATATGCAAATGACACGGTCCTGCTTTTTTCGGGGGAGAGTTGGGAAAATGTGCATGGACGTGTGGAGACAGGCTTACAATATGTGGAAAAATGGCTAAATCACTCGAAATTAACCTCGAACATGAGGAAAACAAATTACATAGCGTTTTCTCCAACGTCTAGCCGTCCTGATTTCTCCTCGATTGCTGTGACTGGGCTAGAGAGTCCTATAAACGAGGTGTCTGATACTTAATATCTGGGAATAGTCATGGATAGGAATTTAAAATGGGAAAATCATGCTGTATGATTGAAGAATAATGTTAGAAAATTAATACACAAAATTTATCAACTATGTGAAATGTTACGTACCTAAAAGCCTTGTGCTGATGTTGTATGGATCCGTTTAGAATCATTGATTAGATATGGTATCGTGATATGTGGTGGTTTGTATAACAGTGCCTTAAGACAACTCATTGTCATTCAAAATTCTATTCTAAAAATAATTTTAAGAAAAGAAAGACGTTTTCCCACGCACATGCTATATGATGATAAAGTTCTTGAAGTTAGATCTTTGTGTAGGTTAAAATACCGAAAACTCATGAAAAATTGAACCAAAGATTTCTAACATATCTTGGACTCAAAATATATAATTTAATCGCTGTGAACATCAGAGAGATGAAAAATCAGAAATTCTTTGTGAGAAAGTGCAAAGAGTAGGTATATATCTGGAAATAAAACTACCTTTTTTGAACTTTTATAGTTGCCTGTTTGTCTGTGTCTTTATAGGGTTAGTGAATAGCTATAAGTTTGTATCATATCATACGTTTATAGTTAGTAACAAGTCAAACCGAATCTAACTATTTCTGAAGTGTATTTTAAATAAGCTGAATACCTCTCAATTATTGTATATGCTCTTAAATTAGCTAGGTGCCGAGAAAAACTGAAGTAGAAACTCTATCGTAAATCATAATGATGATATGTTTCCTAATATTTTTAGGTCTATGTAATTCTCATTTTTGAATAAACTGATTGATTAATTGATTGAATTTGTACTCCAAGCTACGTATGCCACATTAGAAGGATAGAAGGAGTGCAAAATAAATTTGCCAAATACCTGCTCTACGAACTGAGATTTCCTTGCCCGAACCTTGAGGATGAGACTCGTCTACAGCTCTGTGGCATACCCAGCCTTGACAATCGCCGCAAAAATGCCCAGCTCATTTTCTCTACAAAATTCTGCAGAACATTATCAACCCACCCGAACTTCTAACAGAAATTCAAGAAATTATCTCTAAATTTTTTGTGAAGCTTTTTTTCTTTGAAAATCAAATTACGTAGCTCATTGTTGAACATTGAACCACATAAGAAAGTTAGAACTTCTAAATTTCGTTATTGGAATATGAATAGTTATTCCCTCCCACAATATTTCATAAAATCACAGAACAGCCTGATCAAGAATCAAACCACTTATTAGAAGCCAATTAATACTGGCGGCTTTGTCATTATTTGTTACCTGACAAAAATTGTAATAATTTATACAGGGTGTACCATTTAAAACGAAACACGCTAAATATCTGATGCGACGTTTATTTTTTCAAAAATCGCCCGTACACGTAATTGGATTTTCAAAGCAACCATTTTTAGCACTCCAACTTTAACCCCCTAGGCTGGGTGGGACCAACCCTTACTATTTCAAATGGAATAAGAGTCGAGTTCTCATTCGTTTGATGTCATTTGAAAGAAAATCGAACGCTCTTTTAAAATAAGTATCACTCGACCCCCTGTTCTATTTAGAATGGAAAGGGTTGGTCCCACCCCCCTAGAGGGTTAAGTTAGTACTGAAAATATTTCAAACAGTCACACAATCAAATTACGTGTACGAGCGATTTAAAAAAAAATAAAAGTTACATCAGATATTTAGCCTGTTTCGTTACAAATGGTATACCCTGTATAGACATTCCATTATATTCATGAAACTATAAGCCAGGGAATTTCCCGCAAACTCGATGGTTAAACCAGACTCATTATCAATCCATTTAAGCTGTGACAAATTAAAATCGCTCATCAGCACGAAGTTACATTTAGGATACGAAATAAAAATTGATTCGATTGATTGACACACATAAACAGACCAGCTTACACCAGACTTAGGTGGTAAAGGTAGATACAGCCCAATACAAATTTAGATTACTTACTCCTAAAAAGTGGGTACATAAACATATTCAACAGTTCAGATCCTCCACCTCAAGTTCTGGGATCCCCTAGTTTTAATGCTGCATAACTTTGTGAGGACCTAAACAGAGTCGTGGAGTAGCCAAAAACGTGGAGAATAAAGTTCAATAAAACCAATTGCACAGATCTTGGAATTGGTCCAAACATTCTCAACCAGGCATACGGACTAAACAACTAAAATTTGTCCACTGTAGATAAACAAAAGGATATTGCAGTCACCACCACATCAGAATTAGAAATCACCAAAAAAGCTTCTAGCTTCATCTATCTGATAAGGCAAGCGTTCAACGACGACTGGATGGATTTGATACCTATATTATATAAAAGTTATATAGGGACAAAATTGGAGAATACTAAACTGGATACAGAAGAGGATTATCAAAATGCCACTAGAATTCCGAAACATACCATACACTGAAAGATTGTCAACATTTTAATTAACAACTTTTTAAAGAATTCTAATAATTTTCAAGACACTATCTAATAAACTAACTGGTCTATGTACCTATAGGTCTCCAGCTACAGCTACTAACTTCTCTTCTTTCTATAAAGATTTTGCCAAATGAAATAATTTCTTCTGGAGTTTATGGTGCCTACAATGAGAAGCCTACTAAAATACCATCTCATTGTTACTTCATTATTTTTCAGATTTAATTTTAATAAACATAATTTTAGCAATCCAACATTAACTTATCAACAATATCCAATATAAGAAAGTGTAACAAGAACTAGCCGATAAACCCACACAAGATTCTTAATGGGTAATTTAAATCCATTAATTTGCAAGATCGTTATCTCATTTCAGTCGGTAAACAATTTTTATTGTCTTGACTGGTAATCAGGATGTAAATAATATCCTTTCGGTTATTGAGCTTTAAAACCTCCAGTAGATATTTGATACTTGCAACGATTTAATAATGCAGTAATTGATTGAAACTATTTGAAAGTTGATTACAATATTTTGCTTTTGAATATCAATTTTCTATATCTTGCAATTTTGACATGAAGTTGTATCTGCCTTAAACAAAATTGATTGCCTTCAATTTTCAAAAAATTTTTTTACTACTGAATTTTTTTCACAGTTCCAGAAACCGAACCTCCATCACTTATTTTCTCCACTCAATCGGAGATCAGAAGAGTCACCTTGGAAGGCAAAGCGTGGCCTGGCAACTCCAGCTTGAGACTTTTAAACAGTAACGCATTAGAATTCATCCACCGAAATCACACTGTATGCTACGTACATCATAACGTGAGCCAATCATCGATTGTTTGTGCAAATATTAACGATTTGGAGCAAAGATGGGCGTTGCAAGTGAAATCTTCTTTGCTAGATGTAATTTTGTGATACTTGAAGAATAAACAAGTTTAATAATAAATTGTCAATTTCTAGGTGGATTCAATTCAACAGTTGGCCTTTGATTGGGTATCAGAAAATTGGTATTTTCTAGAGGATCAAAAAGAAGCTATTATTATGTGTAATAATGGCCTGATGTGGTGCAATTTGATTGTTGAAAATAACTTAGGATATCCTAGGTAATATTTCCTTATTTTTTTATGCAAAATTTCAAATAAATTTTTAGGGCAATTGCGCTAGATCCTACCAGTGGCTATATGTTCTTTACAAAATGGGGTCAATCGCCACCAATGTTGGAAAGGTGTAACTTAGATGGTACCAATAGGAAACCTATTGTAGATGTTAAAATTGTTTATCCATATGGTAATCATTATGAGTCTCAAATCAGGGTCCATTTCTATGTGTTTTTTTTTAGGTGTTAGTGTTGATTACCCTACAAAAACCGTCTTTTGGGTGGACACTTATTTGGACTACATAGAAAAAGTGGATTATGATGGCAAAAATAGAAAGACAGTGGCCCGAGGTGTCCATGTCAGAAATGGATATGGTATCAGCGTATTCCAAAACAGGGTATTTGTTTCGTCGTGGTATAATAGCAGCATTTTGGAAGTTAAGAAATTTGGAAATGCAGACAAAAATTTAGAAGCTCGTAACATTGTGACCAACATTACTAGACCCTTCAATGTCTATGTGTTTCATAGACAAAGACAGCCAGATGGTAATTTGACGATTTAATTCAGTAGCTCTCCAAAGACAATTTTTTCAAAAGATTTTTACACATTACAACAATTATGACATTTTCAGTGGCCCATCCATGCAAAACTTCTACCTGCGACCACCTTTGCATTCCCTCTTGGTCCCCTACAGGTGTAGCAGTCAAAAAATGTCTATGCGCCTCAGGATACATCTTATTTGGAGACCGTTGCATCATCAAAACACCAGATATGTTCTTGTTAGCTGCTAAAACTAAGCCTGGAAGTATACGGGGTATTGATCTAGTTACAAGTAAGTCTAGTTCAGAGTCGCAAAAATGTATGATATAATATTTTTTTAAATCCAAAGGTAGAGATGTTATGGTGCCAGTTTTGAGCGTTGGCAGGCCTAAAGTTTTAGAATACATAGCGGGGTCAAAATCAGTAATATACGCTGACGGCCAAGACGAAACTTTGAATATTGTCCTTATCGATTCAGTCAACAAGTCAAGCGTCCTGTTAAAAGACATCCAATGCGATTGCCTTGCTCTAGATTGGACTACAGGAAATCTATATTTCAATAATTGGAAAAGAGGCCTTATTGGTGTTCTAAAAGTGTCCAACTCTACATTGGTGAAAACCTTGTTCCAAAGCACGTTTGCTTATTATAGAACATCGATCGCTTTGGATCCAACTAGAGGAATAATGTTTTGGTGCGATTGGAGTGGAACACCAGAAAAGGGCAGCATTTTTACAGCTTACATGGACGGTACTGAGCGAAAGTCGTTTTTGGAAGAAAACGTTTTTTGGCCTTCCGGATTGGCTGTGGACATCAAAAGTGGCAGATTATATTGGATGGATAGGCAGTTAAGAAGTTTGCAGAGTATCAATTTGGATGGTAGCAATTTGAGAGTGGAAATAGGTGAGGAATTTTCAGAATAATTTTTCTTTTAAACAATATGTTTTTTTAATGCAGATAAAGGCATTGGTACTCCAGCAAATTTAGTACTTGGACTCGACAAAACACTTTACTATATAGATGTAACAAATGGTACAGTGATGAGCTTCAAGTCCGAAAATGGTCTCAAAACGGTTTTTGAGAGCAACACATCATTGCAAGATATAAAAATCTTTGATCCAAACAGGGTAAATTACAGTTGAAGTTTTTATTAGTAAAAATTATCTTACACAAATTTCAGAAAGAACAAGAACCTGAAGAGTGTTCAAAATGCCCCGAACTTTGTCTGCGAACTGACAATGGCAAATTGACTTGTGCCTGCAGAGACGGATTTGAATGGTCTGGAAAGGACTGCTTGAAAATTAGCAATTATACTGCTCCATCAGCTTGTCCAAAGGTAAGTTTTTGGTTTTGTGATTGATATGACAAAAAACTTTTTCAAATAATGTTCCAATGACCACCAGATAACCTAAACCCTCAGATCCTTCCAAAAAAGTTTCAGGTATTTTTTTTACTATGGAGTGCCATCAAATATGACAACGGGCATTCCGCACTATTTGTGTGCTGTTTATGAGATATTTAACTGCCCTATAAATCAAAACCGTACCGAAACTTTATGATGTTTGATCTTTTTAATGAATCAGTGAACATAACATCAATTTATACAAGTTAATATCCAGAGTTATATAGAATCAATAGTGTGGAATAAACTCCATGAAATTATCGATTTTTCAAGATCCAAAAATTTCAACCTAAGTCAATGTTTTTGGTTGAGGATATTCAGAAAAGGATCTAACATCTTTAGAGAAAAAAAAAAATACAAATTAGATTTGAAAAATTTACATTTCTTGAAATATATTTCTAAGCCACCTGACTGAAGTGTCTCATAACATAACATCAAGAGTCTTTAGACAATCAGAAAATTAACTACCCATCTTCTACAACCAAATCTTCCAGAGCGGTTAAAGTTATATTCCCCCATAAGGAAGAAGCACTATATGTACATACTTTAACAAAAAAGCGAACTAGGTACCTGATATACATAGAGTCTATATTAAAGGAAACCAAACTGAATCACAGGGAAAATATATGAAGAAATTAAGTCAGTAATTAGAAGAAAGGGTAAACAAAGGAGAGTAACACCTGAAAATAAAGTATGGTCACGGAGTGCGTAGGATCGTCACTGTGAGGACTCAACCACTGTCAAAAAACCAATTAACAACCTATTGGTATTCAAACCTATGTTTTTTTGAGAATAAAACTTGGCTCAATGAAGAAATATCAGATGGCCTTATAGCTGTGTCAGGATATCGGACCTTTCGTAAAGAAAAAAACAATAAAGAAGGTGGAGGTTTACTTATATACATCAAGGAAATAGAGAATAATAATCAAATCCATTAATAAACTGAAAACAAATACCTATGATACTTGCAGAATACTATGGGTTATTAGCATAGGTGATACAAACAGAATTATGTAAGATCAGATAGCAACACCGAACTGGTCAACACAATTGAAGCTACATTTTCCCAAAGTCAACTATATGAACACTGTGAAAACAAACAAGGCATGGATAAACGAGGCCATATTCAAGGAAATAGCCAAAAAACACAGATGCTGGGATAGGTATAGACAAAAAATTACAGATGAGATCTATCAGTTGTACAGTTTACAGAGTAACAAATTAAAGAACACAATAGCTGAAGCAAAAATATTATGTGAAGAAAGTATAACACAATCAAAGTCAAACGAACAATTCTGCAAGTACCTATGTGTCTAAAAGTCTAAACTCAAAAGTGTCAACAATCATATTAAGAACGACGTTACTAACACCATTTATGCCAGCAATGAGGATACATCGTAAACATTTGCCAAACAATTTATGAACATGTTTACACAAGATAATGACCGGATTCCTTTTTTGCCGGATAGCACTAGAAACGTTAATTTGCTGAACACAATTGACGTCTCACCAGTAAAGGTGAAAAACGCTATCATAGGCCTAAAAACTGAATCAAGTCCTAGTCCGGATGAAATTTCGTCCATTTTTCTAAATAAATGCGTAAAAAGTTTAGCAACATCACTGAGTCATACTATGAATGAATCTATGACCTCGGGGACTTTGCCAGCCAGCTGTAAACAGGCTATTATAACACCAATATACAAAAAGGGTGACAGATATAAGCTAGAAAACTGCAGGCCAGTAAGCTTAACAAGCCCTGTCAGTAAAGTTCGGCACAGCGATTTGTATGAGAGATGACATAGGCTGGGTTCGGTAATTGCTGGTAATTGACCTGTCTCGCATAAATAGAAAAAGAGAGCTTAATTGTAATAAATACAAGTTAGAAAGTAATAAGAGATGACATGCCCGCGCAACTAGTGGGTTTCAGTGTAGCCAGTTTGTATTATTGCAGAACAAATGTAGACAATACAAATCGAACATTATAACGTTAAAGAAGTGATATAGTGTTAAGTGTTTTACAACGCCTTAAATCAGATAACAAAACAACACTGCGGTGAGTTCAGAAGTAATACGTAAAGTATTAGTTTGCTCTTTATCAAAATACACGTTACAAAGAAAGAAGGAGCGATTAATTCTGAACTGGCACCTGAATAAGAATAAGACGCAAGCCCGTAACAAACTCGCTTTTCATTGGATGCTCACCTGCAGCCCACGAGTTGCGCGCGCAGTCAAGGTAATAAAAGATAGGCGGATTGCATCTGCGAGCAAAATGATCAAAATTTGACAGTTGTCACGTGATTTGACACGTGGAAAAAGATAAGTGATCACGGGACGAGTGTCAAAATTTGCTCTTGAAGCCCAGCCATAGGTTATACAGAGTGGGAAAAAAGTCGCGCATAATACCTATGTAACTTTTTAATTACCTCGTATACGAAAAAATGACCTTGATGAAAGTTGCTCAGTATTATTTCCCACATTTCTACCTAGACAAATTGTTTCTGTCACTTCTGGTTTGTTTGCTGTCCAGACGAACTTTATTTTTTCGAATGAAACACGTATGTAATTGCATATTTGGACTCTACGTAAAATTCTGAGCAGATTTCATGTGATATACCCTAGACCTAATTCAACTGTTTTGGAAATATTGACACTTGAAAATTGACATTTTTGCAACTTTGACAGGCTGTAAAACCTGAATGGTTAATTTTTCAAGGAAAACCGATCTTATATTCTTGTCTTAGATTTTCATAAACTAATGGAGTTTCCGATTGGTAGATCTATTGCGGAATTAGTGCAATTTTTTTATTTCTATCTTTTTCTTGTACAGGTCGATTAAACGGACGCAAATACACTCAGTGCGCACTGAATTTACCAATCGGTATAGATCTGACCTTTCTGATCACACAACTTAATCCTATGACTGGTTTTTGAGATACAGGATGTTCAATGTGTGAATGTCCAATATGCATTTTAACACCCTATTCAATCAGTCAAATCATATTCGTGTGAGAATTCGGTCAAGGCACAGAAATCAAGTAAAATACCAATTAGTTATTTGGTATAATCCAGGACATGTAGCTGATAAAAATATTGAACATTAAAATGGACCTATATTGTCTCACTATGGTCAGTGCAAAACAAGTACACGAACCATAAGCTTATGTGCACATGTCGCAACTGTCATTTGGTTTTTGGGAAATGCAAGGCATGAAGCGGTCATTAGATTAACCAATAGTTCTAGATTTTGTTCAAGATGCTGCAAACGGACATGGCATACTTGAATAGCTTTTTTGTATATTCAATTTTTTTGGAAAGAACTGTAAATATTGATAAGATTAGCCATGTACCGCGAAGCCCCGCCCTTGCCTCACCACAGTCACTTGTCCATAATTACAACTTACGGTCGAGAACGTGTTAGTCTGCTACCAGAATCGGACATGGAAGATGCTAGCGGAATGTCAGGAAGAAATTCTAACTTACGACGGCCATTAAGCTCGAATGAAAACACCTTATCAATAAACCTGGGCCGCGACAGCCTCACAAACTTTAACTGTAAATAGACAGTATATTCTATTCTTATTTTTAGTTATAATAGTTCCTGCATTTCTAATTGGTTGTTTGGTACAGCCTGTATAGAATTAATAATAAAATTTAATTCTTGTTGTGATAAAAGTAGTAATATTGGAAAATGCGCTTCAGGTGTCATAATGCATATTTCATGTTCACACATTGAACACCCTGTATCTCAAAAACTAGTGATAGGAAGTTCGCCCACAGCATCTTGAACAAAATCTACAACTATTGGGTAATCTAATGACCGCTTCATGCCTTGCATTTCCCCTAAACCAAATGACAGTTGCGACATGTGCAGATGGTTCTTGTTTTGCACTGACAATAGTGACCCAATATAGGCCCATTTTATTGTTCAATATTTTCATCAGCTACATGTCCTGAATTATACCATATAACTAGGTATTTTACTTGATTTCTGTGCCTTGACTGAATTCTCACACGAATATGATTTGGCTGATTGAATAGGGTGTTATAATGCATATTGGACATTCACACATGGAACACCCTGTATCTTAAAAACTAGTCATAGGATTAGGTTGTGCCCATGGTAGTTATTGAACAGAAAGGTTAGATCTATACGAGGGGTTTTTCACCTAACAAAATTTGTACACCGATTAATAGTACTAACTGAGATAGTTCCATGTATTAACAAGATATTTTCACATATTGCCAGGTATTTCCCTAGTATTATCACATATTACCAGATATTGCCATGCTATTAACAGACTAAAATCAAATATTTGTGTTGCCAGAATTCTAGGTATTGACATATCCACAGGTATTTACATGTTATTAATGAGTATCAACCAATGACATTAACATATATTGCCTAGATATCTACAAGTATTGACATATATTACCTACATAATTAACAAGTAGGTATTGCATAGTATTGACACTATTGACATAGTATTTATCTGGTATTGACAAATATTAACCAGTGATTTGTACACCGATTAACAAGGTTAAAACCCCTCGGATCTATAACATACTGAAATTTGGTTAAATTTGACCGCGGTCAGAATTCCCACAAGAAGTGTGCATTTAATATCCGGTTGAATTCAAAGTTGCTGTCAAATGATAGTTTATGAAAATCTTAAGATAAGAATGTTATCCTCACATTCTGGAACTGAATAAAAAAATGAGCTCCGTAATTCGTAATAAGTGCTAGTCTTTGTATGCGTTTTAAACGAAATACACCAAATCGAAACTAACCCCCACTAACCCGTCCTCTTAATAATCTTAAAAAAAATAAACACCTGAAAAAAAAGTGTATTGCCTTCAAACTCAAACTCAAAACTCAAAATTTCTTTATTTAAATAAGTTCACAGTTTACATACATAGGGGTAGGGGAGTGAGGCCCTCCTCAAACAATATATACATAACATTAACTTAATCTAAAGACATGGCTTAAGAGTGCGCTTCTCAATGCTGAAAAAATAGATATTTCGCGTTCGCGACTATGCTGTTTTAATAAAAACTGTTGCATCTAGGGAATTCTAATAAACACTGTTGTACTTTTGTGCTTGCTTGACCAGTAATTTTTTTTTGCTTTTTCTCATTTTTTGAAAAAAAAAATTCATAAAATGAGAAAAATCAAAAAAAAATCACTGGTCAAACACGCACATAAACATATCCTTGAAAAAAGTTATCGGTTAAAATTTCCTAGATGCAACTGTTTTTATTAAAATAGCAAAGGCGCACTCGCGATTTTCAGCATCGAGAAGCGCACTCTTAATAACTAGAAAAAACTCAGTGTGCGCAGCACACTGCGTGCCACTTGCGCGCCTAGCGCGCTGTGTGGCACTACCTACAGATTGGCCGATATTCTGGCCGACAAACCACCATCCTTTTCCCATTAGATCTGCTCTCAACGTTCCCTGGGTTGCCCTTTCACGTTCTTGTGTGACCTTTCGGTCGTTGGTAAATACCAATTGCCTTCAAAGATAATCGAACCCGGGATCATTTGCTCCAAAATCCGTTCGTCGTTCGTATCCCAATTGCGCCACACCATGCCTGTGAAAATATTCGTAGAAATCGAAGTAATAAAGTGCGCAAGACATTACCATTCCTAAGCTATAACGAACGATACATTTGCCAAGGGTGGGCGTTTTAGCCGATCCTAAACAAACCTATTAGGATCGGTGCAATATTTTGGTGAATTTAGCCACACGCGGAATATCGTTCGGCATCTTCCGGAGCTCCGTCTGTCTGCTCCCCAGACTTTTTATTTCTACCCCACCTTCCCTTTTCATCCTGGAAACTGCATCTGTTCAATCCATAAAAATGAGCAGAGTCTCCCAAGTCATCAGTGAGTGTATCAGACACGTCAAGGCAATGGTATTCCAATGTCAATATTTCACTCTGATTTGGTTAAGAGGTCAAACATCTACAATCACCTCAAAATATACAGTGATATTGGTCTGCAGATTAGAAATGCTTCAACACGAAGTTACGAACACGAGAAGCTTTCCAAAAGTTACTGTGCATTCTTATCGATAAGGGCATTTTATACTATTGGCGAGTTCTTTTAGCAATATTATTTAATTGTTGTTATACATTAATTGTTGTTAAATGTTGATAATCAACTGGCTATATAAGTGGTCTTATTTTCTTTGTAATGTGCTGTATTTTGTATTTACCCTATTGCCAAGTTTATTTTTGCAAGATATATTACTTGGACAATAAAGTACTTTTCATCATCATCGTCATCATTCTATCTATTCGTGTTTGCATAGTCTGACCAAAATTGTACAGAGCAAATGGAATGCATAGGATTTCAAAACGCCCTCGTCCAATAACTGGAAAAGCTGTTTAAACAATCACTTTCTTCAGGCTTAATTTTCCAAAATTTATGTTCGAGATGTATTGATGTCAAAAATTTGGTCATACATTTTATGCATAATTTAGTTTATGGTAAAGGCTATGAATTTTTGACTGTAATTGCATTCAAAGACTACCCATCATAAAGTCAATATTCTCTACTCTAAAAGATCAGTAAATCCCAACTTGTCTGAGACCAAATTTTTGGATATCAATTTGAATTCATTCAATTTCTCATTTCGCTTTGAATTCAAATCATATTCTGACTGAATGGAGAAATTTTTTAAATTTCCTTTTACACGTTATTTGTTCCCAATGATGATATGAAATTTAAAGTTATAACAAATCAAAATGTGCTTCATTGCCAAGAAAGCAACTTAAATTTATCAACAAAGCATGTTAACTAAAATCCGAACAATTATAAAAATACCTATGTATCTAGATTTAAAATATACCGACAAAATGAACACACAAAACCTAAACTAGCCCATTGTATTAGTCAGTATAGTCAAAATAAATATAAAATATACATTGAAACATGAAACATTATTACATAAACGCTTAGCAAAAACGTGTGGATAAACAAACAGTCAAGTTGGACAGGCAAGTCACAATGCATCCGCGTAAATCTCACCCAGATCGTAGTAGGCCTTACTAATCAATTAATTCTTTAAAGATCGTCTGAACACTTGTATAGACGATGTGTTCCGAAGATAAGCGAGCAAGTGATTAAAAATCGTTCTGTTTTCAAAGATCAAAGAGTGCTTAGTTGATGAGCAGGAATTGGCAAGAGCAAATCAGACGCGTTTCTCGCTGTGGTGGATGTCCCCACGATGGCTGCACGATTCTTGAACACAAAAAAGGAGATCAGAGTTAAAATTCTCAGTGAAACAAAATAGAGCCTGCATGCCCGATGCCTGCGGTAAATCGTACAGCCTTGTTCTGCATGACAAAATAGCACATTCAATAGGTACTTAATGCTGAGGTCCCAGAATGGAATTCACAACTCGCCCTCACAGGAAAACAGCCGTTAGAAGCCTTCTGCTTTTCCTCAAGATGTGATCTTGAACGAAGGTCCTGGTCTCGAACTCATCCCGACCTGGAAACTGCTCAATACCAGGCCATCCACGTTGCACCTGAAACCAAGCACAGTTGTCTTGTCTGTTAGCGTCACACCATCACTTTATCAATTGCAAGTCGTTGGAAATGGCATGCCTCAAGACATCAACATTAGGACAATGCCAAACTATATAAAAATTGTAAACTCTCCAGAAATCTCAACACGGGCGACGTCGTTAATAATGTATAGAAGGAAAAGAAGTGGCCCTAAAACAGACCCCTGAGGCACTCCAGAACCAATCAGCATACTTGAAGACTGTTCTCCAGAAGCCATAACCGATTGACAACTTCCAGTAAGATAAAAGCTGAACCAACGCAGACCCGTTCCTCTAACGCCATAACGTACGAGCTTAAAGAATCAGAGCTAAAATTGAAATAGAAGTTTCTGCACTAAACTATAAGGGTCTCCAAATTGCATCAAACAGCAGAGTAGAACATCCAAAGTTTCCACACAAGTTTATCAATACAATCATTAATATTGGACATTGAAGACAGAAAATGTAAGTTCACAGCCAAAGGAGCAAAACAAAGAAGTCCAGGAGCTTTTCCACCAATTTCCATCCACAAACAAAGGTAAAAAGGGCTCAACTTCGTAGTAATGTTTTGTGAGCAGCTTTCGCAAAATTAGGACCGTTAAGTTACAGTAAATAAACAATTGATGAAATAAAGGTAACGTTAAAGACGTACCTAGAGGCTAGAAATCAACAGTCATCTTAATATAGAAGAAGGAGAACCCTAGGACTTGAAAAAACTATAGTCCTAGTGAATTATTGCCCCATTGAGAACAAGACATTAATAAATGCATATTTTGCATTATAGTAGCAACCAAAGCAAAAATCAATTTTCCTCTAATAGGTACTTTTTATTTTGAGCCTCCAATGTCCTGATGAAGTTAATCATATTATAATTTATTTCCATAGATTCCTGCAAATTATAGTTATTCAATTTATGTCATGTGATGTTTAAATACATTTTTAGGGCGTTTGAAAACAAGGAATTTGATTTTTGTATTTCAATATTGACCTGAACTGCACTAATTAATAGAATACTGTTTAGAAAATTGGGTGTACTCTGAATACTAGCTATATACAGCCCCTCGATTTTAATCTGATACTCCAAAGAAACGTGAGCTGGTGGCTACCTACATTTGAACGTCAATGGTCACCTGGCGTCACACCTGTTTTTGCCATATGCTTCACCCCCTCGCTCCTCATACAGAAAGTGTCAGATTAAAAACGACGGACAATACCTATGTAACTTTTTCCCAGTGGCAGTTTGTATAAATTTCGCCTCTGAAAAGCCTTTAAAATTAATAAATAAAACACCTCTTTTCAGCATCACTTCCAATGCCTCGATAGAAAGCAATGCATTCCCAACAATTACGTCTGCGACGGCGTAGATAATTGCGGAGACGGCTCAGACGAAAGCACAGAGCCCGGAGGACCGTGCGAAAATGTCAAATGTGGCGAGCACCAGGTCAAATGCGATAAAACCACTTGTATAGCCCGCCACTGGGTTTGCGACGGCGAAAAAGACTGTCTCGATGGTACCGATGAAGACCCGAAAATGTGCTTGAAAGTGTGTCCAGTGAATCAGTTCAAATGTAAGAATTCCAGACGGTGCATTCCGATGGTGTGGAGGTGCGATCACGTTCATGATTGCGGTCCTAACGATGATAGTGACGAGGCGGATTGTAAAGTTAATACTTGTGATGTGAATGAGTTTACTTGTAAAGTAAGTAAATGACGTCAAAATCTACCTTTCTCATATATAACATCTAAATTTTTTTTAGGACGGCCAATGCATAGCATCGCATTTCTATTGTGATTCTTTGAAAGACTGTCGAGATGGATCCGATGAAATCGATTGTGTCCAGTGCAACCCTGAAACTGAAATAGTTTGCAAGCCGAAAGCTGATTGTTTGCCTAGTGTTGTCAGGTAGGCAAAAATCATCCAGAAAAAAGAAATACCTATGTTTTAACAACTTGACTTTTTTCAGGTGTGATGGTAAAATGGATTGTCCAGATGGTACAGACGAGCGCGATTGTGGAAAAAAAGACTGCGAGTCTAATGAGTTTACTTGTGCCAACTTTGAATGCATACCAAAAGTGAGTGACTTTTTACTACTTATGTTTGTTGTTTATATTTTATAATTTTTTCTCTAGATGTTTGTCTGTGATTCAGACCTTGACTGTATAGATGGCTCAGATGAGAAAAATTGCGATGCCTCAAAAATGCACAATACTACAGATCTCAAGCAAAAAATTGATTGCTTGCCGCCAAATAGGCTTTGTGATAACGATACCAAATGTATTTCTCCTATGCAAATGTGTGATAATAGACAAGGTAAAAAATTGTTAAATTTTTATTGGTTCATTTATTAATGAAACATTTTAATTATAGACTGTGCTGATGGCACTGATGAAGGGCATAAATGTAATGAAATGTCCGGAAATGTGACAGGAACTAAAGGCAGTTCTATGACTTCATCATGCGAATATCCTCACAGGTACGATTCAGTAATCTAATAATTTTTTGTCAATTACTTAGATGTTAATTACTTAGATGTTAATTAATTCGTATTTTTTTTTCTTCTAAAGGCTTTGTGATAACGATACAAAATGTATAACGGTCCAACAACTTTGCGACGGACGTTCAGATTGTACTGACGGTTCAGATGAGGGCATGAGATGCACAGATCAAATGTGCGATCACAGTTTCATATGCTCGCACATTTGTCATAACGCGCCTGACGGTGTTGTTTGTAGTTGTCCAGCAGATTTACATTTACAGGTAAAAATTGGACTTTTTCACTTATCCCTCAAACATGAACAGGACAATGAATTTTTTGTCCCATTGATTAAATCGATTCAAATAAATAACTTAGTTTATTTACATTTAAGGCTGATCGTACTCACTGTCTAGAAACCCACCCCTGCGAAGCCTGGGGCGTATGTTCTCAAAAATGCATCCCCAGAGGCTCGAGATACAAATGCTCCTGCCTCGACGGCTATGTTCTACAAGAAGACGGTTTCACGTGCAAAAGTACCGACATTGGAAGGCCTTACGTAACCTTTTCTAACCGCCACGAACTAAGAGGGGTAGATTTGCACACATTTACTCAAAAGTCGTTCATCTCCAACTTGAAGAACACTATTACGTTGGACTTTTATCATTCTAATGGTACCGATATGATTTTCTGGACTGATGTTATTGACGATAAGATTTATAGAGGCACAGTTGGAGGTGGATCGTTGGGCAATATTGAAGTGGTTGTTAATGCGGGATTGTCTACTGCTGAAGGATTGGCAGTGGATTGGATTGGGGAGAATTTGTATTGGGTAAGTGAGTTACAAACAAATTTTTTGTATCACAAATTTATTTGTTTATTACAACAATTGCAAGATATTTGCAGCTATTGTAATTGGTAAAAAGAGTCAATCGTTTTAAACCATAAACAGTCATTCTACTAATTGGTTGGCAGAGAATGCATCATATTCTATTTAAACTTATTTCAGGTCGAGAGTAACTTGGATCAAATAGAAGTAGCCAAATTGAATGGTAGTTTTAGAAGAACCTTAGTTGCTGGTGATATGGAAAGCCCACGAGCTATCGCAGTCGATCCCAGAGATGGGTAAATGATATTTTACTTACTTATAGTTTCTTGAACTAAATAAAATCAATTTTCAGCTATCTCTTTTGGACAGATTGGGATAATTCAGCTCCAAGAATAGAAAGATGTTCTCTAGCAGGTTTAGATAGAAAAGTTGTCGTCAGAGTGGACCAGTTTATCAAGGGCGGCTGGCCCAACGGGTTAACTTTAGATTATACTATGAGAAGGTAATTATATTGTTATATATAAATCCTTTATTTAGTCAAGACTAATTTACAGTTATACAGTTACGGTTATCAATTGAAATTCTACTAAAGCTAATTTATAATTTAATTAAAAAACAATTTTCATATAATAATTTAAAATCTACAGTCAATAAAACAATGATAAAAAAATTATTAAAAAAACGTACACTGATACAATATAAGTTACACATACTACTTATAAGTTAACATCACTTAACATATAATCTTTGAGAACTTTTTTAAAAGAATTCACTGTTCTCATAGACTTAACATTATTTGGCAGATCATTATAGGTTTGTTCCAACCTGCAATAATATTACTGTAATCTTATCGTCCGTAACCGCGCTAATGCGACTGCGCAATCAAAAACAGTAATATTATACTAAATAACTTAAAAACTTGTTGGAACGTTTTTTGAACTAGTAGTACTCACAACACAAGATGAAAATAACAAAATCAACATAACTTGCATACTTGCAGGTGAATCATCTTCCACCACAATAAGGAATTCTTCTAAACCTAATATAAGACAAAAATCAGATTTATTAACTCTGAGAATAAATAAAATAAAATTACTTAACTTCTATAGGAGTCATTTTCAAATAAATAATTTAAATAAACAAAAAACTGAGGTTCTGGGTTATGTATTATTATTTATGTTCGTTGTTGTTCAACCACTGACCCGTTTTCGACCTCACTACGCATGCGTCTAATTTTAGAACCAACAGTTCTTCCTTTCAAGCAAGAATCGTTTGAACCGTAATTTTACTATCCGTAACTCCGGTTGGAACGACGAACTGTCAATTATCGCTAATTCTAAATTAGTAATTTTAACTGGTTGGAACAGCATTTCATAATTGCGCATGTGTGCCAGTAATATTACTGGAAATTACTGCCGGTTGGAACAAACCTTATACCTACTCAAGCCCTTAAAATATAATGAGTTTTGCGACCACCTTCAAGAGCCAGTAAAAACTGATACCTGGCGTATGATGTACAATAATTTATTTGTTACTTATTTGTAAACAATAAATTAAAAATTAATACATAGGTAATACAATTTTAATAAATAATTCTACTGACCCTACTGACTTGTAATAGTTATTTACCTACGAGCGTGCGGTAAAGTGCACTTTACCGCACGTATTTGAAAATGGAAAGTATCACTTTACCGCACACTATGCGGTAATGTTAACTTTACAGCATAGTGTGCGGTAAAGTTAACTTTACAGCATAGTATGCGGTAAAGTGAACTACAAAGTGTGCGGTAAAGTGCACTTTACCGCATAGTGTGCGGTAAAGTAGAATTTGATATTTATAATCAAAATTCCTTTCTTTTTCAGAAAATGGATTTTTGATCATTTCTAAATTTAATCTTATTTCATTAATCAATCTGATTCATTAATTAATTTTATCAATGCCTTTTTTTGGAGATGTAGATGCTCATAGGTAAAATTTTGTACCTAACACATGCGGAAAGTGCCTTTACCGCCCTTAACGACTGCCGTTGCGTGCGGTAAAGTATCACTTTTCGCATTTGTTAGGTAAATAACTATTACCAACATATCAGGAACTTGACCTATTTCTAGCGAAGAATTAACTAAATTTAAAAGTGGATTCTTTATATTCTCAAAAGTATTTTTGAGTAAATTGATGTTAATATCATCCGGACTTGATTTATTAGCCATTACAAAAATAATATCTTTCAACCCTTCAAAATCCAACATACTAAAATCTGAAAAATTAACCAAATCGTCATGGTGAGCCAATGGAAAATCTCCAAGATCAGACTTATCTATATCCCAAAGTATATCTTTAATACTATCGACAAAAAAAAATTTCAGTTTATTAGGTAACTCCTCTTTATCACTAACTAAGGTATTATTTATTTCTACCTCATCAATTTTAGCCACTGTATTTTTGGAAGGTAATAGAGTTTCCAAAGTTTTCCACATTTCTGTGGGATTATTTTTATTTTGACATATTTTTTCTTCATAGAACTTACGCTTCTCTTCTCTAAACACTTGAACTGCAAAATTTCTTTTTTGCTTATATTCATTTAAGTTTTCATCTGTTTTATTATTTTTATAAGTCCTATATATGGCAGCAAATATCCAGTTAAGTTCCTCAAAATTTTGTAGAGGGCGCGAGTGAACTTGGAGTGTTTTAAATTTTGGCGGCAAATGTCAATAGTTTAATGGCGTTTCCGATTGGTAGATCTAGTGCGAAACTAGTGCAATTTTTTCTATTTCTATCTTTTTCTTCTACAGGTCGTTTTAAAGGATGCAAATACACTCAATGCGCACTGAATCTACCAATCGGAAACGCCATTAAACTGATTAAATTGAGTAGAAAGTAAGATGACTACCTATGAACAATGGACAATGGATAAGTTAAAATATCTTCTAAAGCGTTCAGTGGCCCTTAGAGAATATTTTTAGAAGTGTCAGCCTCAGCTTGTCTTGAAACCACACATCAAACTTCAGTTTTGAGGTTAGAATTACAATCGAATTTTTACGCGCCAAAATTTAAAGATGAAGAGATCCAAGTACAGAAGCGCCCTCTTCAACTCAATTGTCAATATTACATGCCATTGCGCAATATTTGGTTGATACTCAAAAAATCAATATTTCCACCTCTAGTATCAATAGTCTTAGCCACTTTAGGACTCACATTGTGTAATATTTCAATCATGTAATGATCAGTAATTTTTGGGGTAATAATAACATTAGCTTTAAACAACTTATCAGAGTTCGTTAGCACCAAATCTATAATTGAGTCTTTATCTCTACCAGAGCGAGTTATAGCAAAAACAATATTTTTAAGACCTATATCTACAAGAATTTCTTTTAAAGCTTTTGACTCATCCGTTTTGTAATCGATGTTAAAGTCGCCTACAACTAAAATGACACAATTTTCATCAATCAAATTTTCTTCGCACCATGCTTGAAAAAAAAGCTCAAAATCCCGTTTAGATGAACTTGGAGATCTGTACAGAGATACCAAAAGATATTTTTTCTTATTGTAAAAGATGTATTCAATATGAACCTCCCCATCCAGAATTTTTTCGGTTAAGCAAGTTTCAGACAATGCTATAACTACTGGTGATCTACTTAAAGCTAGCTGATTCTTATTGGTTGTATCATCCCTCAACTATGTAAGTATTTTTCTTCTAGAATTTATTGGGCAGACGCAAGATCAGACTCAATCCACACTTGTAATTACGATGGCAACGATCATCATGAAGTCATAAGCAATCAAGAGTTTCTGTCGCATCCGTTTGCCATTTCCTTATTTGAAAATTACGTATATTGGACTGACTGGAGAACCAACAGCGTTATGAGAGCTAATAAGTGGACCGGAGGAGATGTCATGGTTATTCAGAGAACTTTGACTCAGCCTTTCGATATTAAAGTTATGCACCCCAGCAGGCAACCGCCAGGCGACAATCCGTGTGGCAAAAATAACGGAGGTTGTTCTCATTTGTGTTTGATACATTTGAATGGGTCTTACAAGTGCGACTGTCCTCATATATCTAGATTAAGTGACGATAATAAAACTTGCGTTAACAATGAAAGAGTACTTTTGATAGCTCGTGCAAGTGAAATTCGTGGCGTGGACATTGAACAACCATATTATCACACGATACCAACAATCAGCATGCCTCAAGTACTAAATCCAGTGCAGCTAGAGTACTTTGCCAAAAATAAAACTTTAATTTGGTCTGATTCACAGTCTGATGAAGTCAAAAAATCAAACTTAACCCAAGGCCCTGTGCAAACTTTAATCGATACAGGTTTACAACAGTTGTCTGGATTGGCTGTAGATTGGATATCGGAATTGCTGTTTGTTAGTTCTGTTAATGGAATAGTGATATCAAATATCAAAGGCGAATACAGTACATTGCTTATAGAAGATAAACAAATTCTTTCTGTGGCCGTTTATCCGAGTTTGGGAAAAGTATTTTGGATACGAGGACAAAATGACAGTATAGCTTTTGTTGAAAGCAGCGGAATGGATGGGTCAGACAGGAAAATCCTTGTACCGGATTTGATGTTTGATTCAAAGAGTTTGGTTGTGGATATGAAGTCAAACAGGTAATAGCTTGGAATATTTTTATAGAATAGTAGGTTTATACTGTTGACTGTAATGGACAAGCTAAACTTTGAACTAAAATATCTTTAATATTTGAAAAGTAAATCAAGCAGTGGTCATAATTGCAATTCATGACTTTGCCTAGTAGGTGTATAAATATTTAAATATTCTTTTTTTTTTCTGAATTAGATTATACTGGGTTAGCGGATTCGAAGTTATGTACTCAAACCTAGATGGTACCAACTTACTAAAGCTAAATCTTCCTTCCAACGTAACAGTTACAGCAATCACAGTATACAGAGGCAAATTATATTACGCCGACGATGCCGACCAGTCAATTTACGTAGCCGACAAGACCCTTGGTATAAACGGTTCAATTGTTGCCCTAAGAAATAGCACGGGAGGCGTATTAGCTTTGAGAATTTACGATTCCAAAGAACAATCCGGCACTCACCCGTGCCAAATCAACAACGGAGGTTGTCAGCACTTGTGTTTGCCCAGAACTAAGAGCTCTTTCATGTGCAAATGCGCTACAGGCTACGAAGAAGATCCCACCGATTTCCATAAATGTACCGGCATTCAAGATTTCATAGTTTTCTCGTTGAATTGGGAGCTGCAGGGACGTCCGCTGAACGGTTCCAAGGCTACTAAAGTACTTGGCCCTATTTCAAGGGTCAGTAGCGCGTCATCTATCGACTTTATTGCCAATCAAGATTTGTTATTTTGGGCTGATATTGAACATGGTCAAGTTACTAAAATCAGGAGAGATGGTATGGTGATATTCTTTTTTGAGCCAAAGAGTTCTTAGACTTTTTTTATATCTAAGTTATTTTTTAGGTACTCGCAGGTCTTTTATTTTGGACCAAACAGAAATAATCGATAATGTGCCAGACGATTGGTTAACATGTCTAGCCATAGATTGGGTAGCAGAAAATATGTACTGGTGCGACTCCAAACGTGGTACCATAAGTGTAGCTAGATTGGATGGTACCAAAGAGCATGTGCTACTTTCAAATGAGACAGCTAAACCAAATGCTCTCGCCTTGGATCCTGTTCGAGGCTTGATGATTTGGGCAAGTCAGAACAAGTGAGTACATTCAATTCGCTTGTAAAATTTTATCCTTGATCATTGTTTTAGGCTCGAAATTGCAACGTTGGATGGCCAAAACAGAAGAGTCTTGCTTAATAAATCCAACAAGAAATTCTCTGACATCACCTTGGATTCAAAGAATCAGCAGATTTACTTTTGTGATATTTTATCTGCTACAATTGAAAGAATTAAATATGACGGAGGCAACCATTCTGTTTTATTGAATAATGCTACTTTAGATAAGCCAGTGAGTTTGACATTTTTTGAAAACACCATATATTTTCTGGATGTGGCCAAAGGCAAGGGAAGCATAAGAAAAGTTCCGATTTCAAATTTTTCGGATGTGACAGTCATTGAGGAGGATTTGGGTGATTCTCTTACTGATATTCAGATATACTCTAAAAGAAGACAAGGTAAGTTTTTTTCTCTATTTCCATCTATACCATTTCCAAATCCAAGCGGCAGTAAATGACAAACTGGTCATTTTCATTACAACCTATCAAATGTCCTCCCTGCATGGGCACTGGTCCAGGTAGGGCGTTTCAACCAATAGGAAGCCTGGTGTCTCTGAGCAGTCCAGACTTTCAGGGTACCATCCTGAAATGAAGAATGGAAAGACGCATTCCAGGTGAATGTTTCACACTCTGGAGTCTAGCTTTATTAGATTTTTTTCCATCCAGCAGCTCCGAACATATAGTTTTTGAGGAATTCATACTTTAAATACTGGAAAGTTGAAATCTCAGGAATATGTATTAATTTTATTCAAATATATTTAGTATCCCACACATCACAGATAAAACTGACTCACTTTCACTATTTTTTTTTTCAGATGGAACCAATCCCTGTGCCAAAAACAACGGCGACTGCGAGCAACTCTGCCTTTTCAACGGAACTAACCCAGTTTGTGTTTGCTCTCACGGTATGCTTTCATCAGATGGTAAAACCTGCGAACCTTTCTACACTTTTGTAATGTTCTCCAAAGTCGTCAGTATCGACTCAATACATATGATGGGAGAGAAGAATTTAATGAACTCGCCTTATCCCACAATAAAGAATTCGTCATATTTGAAGAATGCAATTGGTAACCAACAACAAAATATCCTTACTATATATTTCAACAAGCCAATTTTCAGGTCTTAGTTTCAGCTACCAACATTCGACATTATTTTACTCAGACATACAACGAGGCTCAATTAATGCAGTATTTTTCAACGGCAGCGACCATAGAATTATTGTCGATAAACAAGGATCTGTAGAAGGTATTGCCTATGAACAGCTGGCAAACGCTTTATATTGGACTTGCAACAATGACGCCACAATTAACCGAGTCAATCTTACCAATCAGCTGCAAAATGCCTCTGAAGTAGAAACAATTGTAAGCTTAAGACCACTGGACAAGCCCAGAGGAATTGCTGTGGATTCTTGCGGCGGAAGGGTGTATTGGACCAACTGGAATGCTCATCAGCCTAGTATTGAACGGGCATATTTTACTGGGTAAATATTCAGAAAAAGTTACTAAGAACAGCCCCCTGATAAACTAATTTTACTTTTGTAGATATAAGCGACAAGCAATTATAACTACTGATATTCGAATGCCCAACGGAATAACGTTGGATCATAAAGCACAAAAGTTGTATTGGGGAGATGCCAGGCTGGATAAAATTGAGAGATGCGAGTATGATGGCAGTAAAAGGTAAGAAGAAACAGTTAATAGTATATTGGATTCTACACTTTTCTGAGTATAATTCACCATAGAGAATAAAGTGAATCTTTCAATACAGCAGCGCCTGAGAAAACCCCGAGTTATATGTATATATTTTTTGAAAACAAGTTCAGTTCAATTCAGGCCGAATTGATCCAGTTGAAGTAATATTGATCTTTACTAATTGAACAGACTGAACCGCCAAATATCACTTTCATCTGATTTCGAAAGAAACCAATAAAATCAAAGACATCTATTAGCATTCTAAAAATCCACATTTCATATTTCTTATTAGGTATTGGCATAGTTTTATATATTATCATGTACCTTCTTGCATTTGATGGAAAAAAGTCTATGGAAATATTTCATATCATTAAGAATGATGTTATTGGACATTACAAAATCTTCATTCAATACTTACATATTTTGGCTTCATATCAGAGATGAGGTATAGAAAATTAATATCATCGTATTCATTTCTCAGGGTCGTATTAGCAAAAGTAACACCCCAACATCCATTCGCCTTGGCAATTCATGGTGATTTCATTTATTGGACAGATTGGATTCTACATGCAGTTATTAGAGCCGACAAGTTCACAGGACAGTATTTTGTAACTTTGCGCAAAGACGTCCCCAGGTAAATAAATGAAAACTTTTAATGAATTCGTTGTAAGATGTTTCTGAAATCCACAGGCCAATGGGTATAGTAGCGGTAGCTGACAACGTGGTCGATTGCTCGTTGAATCCGTGCCTCATAGATAACGGAGGTTGTGAAGAATATTGCGAACTCACTGCCAGCGCTCAAGTTCAATGTTCATGTAGGGAAGGTAGAACATTGAATGCAGACGGACGTTGCATTAAGGCTGGTAATGTCGAATGCACTAACACCGAGGATAGTTTTCGATGTTCCGATGGCGGCTGCGTACCATTCCACGTCACTTGTGACGGTATTACGCATTGTGCCGATGGTTCAGATGAGGAAGCTGGCTATTGTGGCTACCGAACTTGTCCCTTGGGCTGGCTCAAGTGTTTAAACAAAAAATGCGTTCCCATAAATGCTACTTGTGACGGTGTGGACGATTGTGGCGATTCGACTGATGAATTGAACTGCCATTGCCCAGAAGATAAATATTTTAGATGTGCTGATGGTGAATGTGTGCTGAAATCAGTCCTTTGTGACATGGATCCCGATTGCAAAGACAACTCAGATGAAATTGGTTGTCCCAAAACCAACTGCACCGCTTTCCACAATCCCAACTTCAGAAATTGCAACTTTACTAGTAATTGTATACACAAAGATTGGATTTGCGATGGGGAAGACGATTGCTGGGACAATTCGGACGAAGTCGGTTGTCCAAAGTTGAACAAACCGTGCGACTTGTTCAATCAATGGCAATGTCAATCTGGACAGTGTATCAACTCCACTGGAAGATGTAATGGAAAGCAAGACTGTCAGGACGGTTCAGACGAAGTGCATTGTACCGCGAACGTATGGTGTCCGGCAGACCATTTCAGATGCATCAGCGATGGTACTTGTATTCCAATATCCTGGTATTGTAATGGTGTAAAGGATTGTCACGATGAAAGTGACGAAATTGAGTGTAAACATCAATGCAGGTACAGTTTTATTTGAAGATTAAAAAAGAAACTTTCGTTATTGTTAATGATTTATAGAGCTGATAAGTTCCAATGTGCCAATGGTGAATGCATTCCGAAATCGTGGCAATGTGATGGTAGTCCCGACTGTGCTGATAGATCTGATGAAACTGAGCATTGTAACCATACTGAGTGTACTAAACAAGAATTCAGGTAAAGTTTTTTTTAACTTGTCTGTTCATAGATTACATCATAATATTACTGTCGTCAGCCACACAGCAAAAGAGTAAAGAGGAAAACACATATTATTTAGCTCCAAAAACTAGACAAAACCCTTCTAATTCCACCACTACTTTTCATGATTTTGTTCTATGAAGTGCAAATAAATCATATCTCTAAAACATGTGGATTTTCTTCTAGGTGTAACTCAACCGGTCGTTGTATACCAGAAACTTGGGTATGTGATGGTGAAATGGACTGCAAAAATAATGAAGACGAAAGTCCAACCGATTGCCAGGGCAAAATTGCCTGTACCGATCAACAGTTCCAATGCAAGGGCGGACAGTGCGTTAATCGGGCGTTCTATTGTGATGGAGATAGAGTAAGAATTTCCTCTCTACTTCAACAAAATTTGATTGAAAAAAATATATACATTTTAGGATTGTACAGATGGCAGTGACGAACCCGACTATTGTTTCAAAACTTGCTCTATGAACGAATTTCATTGTGCCAATGGAAAATGCCTAATGGAACTTTATAAATGTGACGGTTTTGATGATTGTGGAGATGGTAGTGATGAGGAAAAGTGCCAAACGGAGGATTATTGTCAAAATAAAGGTACTTTAAACTTTGAAATTACAGAGTTTTCAATGTGCTACTTTTTCTAGGTTGGTTCCACTGTGAAAATGGAGTTTGTATTAACGAAACCTTACTTTGCAATGGCGAAAACAATTGTGGAGATTTCTCTGATGAAGGCCGATGTTTTATTGATGAATGCTCAGCTAAAACTCCAATATGTGACCATATTTGCATAGATAAAGTTGTGGGTTACGAATGCCAGTGCCACCCTGGTTATAAGGTAAACTTTTACTATAATAAATAATATTTACAATAGTGGTTTACTTACTATTATGGTAATAGATATCGGCGAAAAATCCTCATCATTGCGAGGACATAGATGAGTGCCTGGACAGGCCCTGTAGCCAGGTTTGCAAAAATACCAGAGGGTCTTATCATTGTAGCTGTCTGGAAAACTTTATACTTGATGGGCAGTCTTGTAAGGTTGACTCACCTGTCAAAGCTACTCTTTTACTAGCAAACAGGTAAAAATCTCGGAAGTTTTTTTTATTAGCAACAATAACCTTTGGCCTATTATTTCAGATATTACATTCGAGAAATCGACTTCACTGGTGACTCCAACCTAATAGCTCACAATCTGACCAACGCCGTAGCCCTGGATTATGATTGGGCGACGCAATGTATTTATTGGTCAGATGTAACCCAACTGGGCAGCACCATCAAACGAATATGCGACTATAAACAAGAAAATCCAATGAGCACAGTGAAAATGTTGCATTCCTCAACTTTACAAAATCCTGATGGTTTGGCTGTGGATTGGGTTGGTAGGAATTTGTATTGGTGCGATAAGTAAGTAATCAGATTCCATATTATTTGATGTTACTTATTAATTATTCTTTAAGGGGTACAGACACAATCGAAGTATCCACCCTCGAAGGAAAACACCGTAGGATTTTACATTCTAAAGATTTAGAAGAACCCAGAGCTTTGGCATTAGATCCGATCAATAAATACATGTATTGGACTGATTGGGGATCTAGAGTTCACATAGGAAAATCCGGCATGGATGGATCAAATCCCAAAGTTATAATAAACAAAAATTTAGGCTGGCCAAACGCTTTGACGATTTCGTTTGAAACTAACGAACTATTTTGGTCTGATGCTAGGGAGGATTATATTGCAGTGTCTGATTTTGAAGGTAGTTTTTCACAATTGAAAAACCGTTAAGGTTTCTAAACATGAATTTTCTATTTCAGGCGAGAATATCAAGATTATCGCCAGTAGAGAAAAAAATATCAAATTGCAACTGCATCATGTGTTTGCTATTGACGTGTGGGAAGACTATGTTTACTGGACCGATTGGGAAACCAAAAATATTGAAAGATGTCATAAATATACTGGAGAAAATTGTTCTTCGATCTTGAATACTGTGCATAGGCCTATGGATGTGAGGGTTGTACATCCGTTCAAACAACCAAAGGTAACAGACAAATAATAAGTTTTCTGCTAATTTGATTATCGGACAGTAGTTGTTACTCTTCAATTCAATTCCAAACAAATATTATATGTTTTTGTTTTGTTTTATCACAAATTTCATTTAAAATTTTGTTTTTATAGGTCAGTAATAATCCTTGTGCGACAGCCAATTGTTCAGCTTTATGCCTGTTATCTCCCAAAGAACCATATTTTACTTGTCAGTGTCCAGAAAATTATGTGCTAGGTAAGTTTTAGTAGCTGAAGTGAAATGATAAATATCGCTGTTTGCTGAAAAAAAGTACACATGCAAAAATATGAGACCGGTTATAATTGAAAAATTAGAAATTCCATTCTCAACAATAGAACATCTCCTTATTATTGTTTGTGTTATAGATAAATATAATAATTTTATATATTATTCCCTAGGTAAAGATGGTCGTACATGTGAAGCCAACTGTACAACATCCCACTTCGAGTGTAAGACAAGCTATAAATGTATTCCATTCTGGTGGCAATGCGATACACAGGACGATTGTGGAGATGGTAGTGATGAGCCCGATGACTGTCCGTCGTTCAAGTGTCTGCCAGGACAATATCAGTGTGCCAACGGTCAATGTATTCATCCGGGTGATCTTTGCAACGGTGTTAATAATTGCGGAGATCATTCTGACGAACGGGATTGTGATAAATATGCTTGTTTGAATACACAGTTCAGGTAAGGAGAATTTTTTCTAAAAATTGTATTATGCCAATAATGTAACACTTTTTTTACATATTTATTTATTATTATTACCTTTTTAGATGTGAAGGTAATAGTACGATCCCACCTCGTTGCATACCGTCAACGTTGCGTTGCAACAAAGTACCCAACTGCCCTCTAGGAGAAGACGAACTCAACTGTCCACCAGCCACTTGTCCTGCCAGCCAATTCAAGTGCAACAACGACAAATGCATACCGGCAGTATGGGTGTGCGACAACGACAACGATTGTGGCGACGGTTCGGATGAAATGCAAGACTGTCATGCGAGAACTTGCGGCCCGGAACACTTCAGGTGTAATTCGGGACGGTGCATTCCGTTGTCGTGGAAGTGCGACGGCGATCCGGATTGTGGCGACGACGAAGACGAACCTCCGACTTGTAGCCAGGCAGAGTTTCATACTTGCGAACCAACTTACTTCCGGTGTAAAAATAATAAGTGTATTCCAGGCCGGTGGTACTGTGACTATGATAACGATTGCGGAGATGGCACTGACGAATTGAACTGTACTCCAAGGAATTGTTCGGAATCTGAGTTTAGGTGACTAATTTTACTAATCAGTTACTGTTATTATCATTATTATCATTACATTATCACATTATTAACGCAGTTCTGACTCTAACTACATAACTAAAATTACTTAAAATAAGTCTCTTTTAGTCATTTTGATCAAATAACTTATTATTATTATTTAGATGCGGTAATGGTAAATGTATCAGAGGCACGATGAAATGTGATGGTGAATATCAATGCGAGGATAGATCTGACGAGGCAGATTGTCAGACTCAATGTAAACAAAACGAATTCCAATGCATCAATCCAAAAATATGTATTTTCAAAGAATGGAGGTGAGAATTTAACTTTTTGTTATTTTCAAGTATGTATAATTCTTATTGTTTCAAGATGTGACGGTGAATTGGATTGCTCTGATGGATCAGACGAAATAAACTGTCCGAACGCCACTAGTTGCCCACTGAACGGTTTCCGATGTCAAAACGGTTTTTGTATCAACGGCGATTGGCAATGTGACGGTCAAAACGATTGTGACGACGGTTCCGACGAAAACGATTGTAAAACTTATACTTGTCCTGCGGGAAGATTCCGCTGCCAGAATCGGTGCGTGCCTGTGAGCGCGTTATGCGATGGTACCAAGCAGTGCGAGGATGGCAGTGACGAGGACAAACATTTCTGTAAAAGGTAAATCTGCTTATCAAAATTATAGGAATAGCGTTGATCTTATTGTTTTTTATTTTCATGCATAACGACTGTGAACAATTGAATTCATTGAAATGCTAAAGGATTGCAACAATTTCATCCTAATATTTCTTCAATTCTCTTTCAGCTCCAATAAAATTTGTCCCACTGTCTGAGTAAATCTCTAGTGGTTTTCCACGTCTTGCAATGAATCTTCTTAATGCCAACAGTGCCTAATGAAATAGACCTATCTATTTTACCAGACAAAGAGGTAATAATACGAAAACTTCATTAGATAAAAAAAGACACAGAACGCTCATTGCGCAAGTCGAGGCAAAACGTACCAAATTATGTAAAGGCTGTTTTACAGCTTGCAATTCTATCTGCAATATGCAAGAAACTTGAACGAGAGCATGCGCAGAAGTGAGTCAGCTGATTGGTTTCTGCAAGATTCTTGAAACTTGAATGGCATTGCATGCAATCGGTTTGGTGCCATTTTTCTTGAAGGTTTTCGTGCAAGTTTGCGAATTTTTAGCAATTATGATGCTTAAAGTTGCTGCTATTGCTTTCTTCTTTTTATATTGACTTATAATCACTTTTTTTATTTTTGGAAAATGCAAACATCAACTAGACAACATTAAAAACAAAAAAGTATGGTTAAGGGTAGAGAAGGAAACAAGTCAAATTGCAAGGTGTAAAACGATGTGCAAGAAATCTTGAATGCAATTTTTTTGCATACAAAAAAATTGCATTCAAACTTTCTTGCAAGCTGTAAAGCGGCCTTAAGACTTACGTATAGCAATCCGTTCTTCTTATTTGCACGGGATAAAAAAGGAAGGAGAAAGACCACGTGTTGTGCAAAGTATTTGTCAATACAAATTTCAAACAACTTTTGAATGTTACTTGTCAAGTTATGTCAAGTTGAATATCAATCGTTCTTGTCAGATCACGGGCAATGAACAAGAACAAGGAGATGCCTAGCGTGCAAAACGATCACCTCACACCTGTACTAGTTAGCCAATAAAAAAGCATTGCCTCGTGTTGCGCGCGCATACCAGGTAAAAATAGATAGGTCTATTGCTATTTCGATATGAACAGTTCTTGGATTCAAACATGTGAATATTTCATATCTTTTTTCTATGCTTCGTTTTACTTTTACTTTTAATGGTCCAAAATAATCTAATACGCAATAACTAAATGGCGTAAATCTTAAAATCCATGCAGATGCTCTTAGGAGTCTATAGCATTTTGAAAATCTTTTAGCATCTGGTAAACAAATCTTCATCAGTGTAATCGTGACAATAATTTCTTTATCAATAATTTCAATAAAGTCTTCCTTTGGCCAAACATCTTAAGGTTGCTCAAGAAAAACTGGACCATGAAATCACAGAAAATTTGCTACTACCTCTTGCTCTTTAATATCTTTAGTTGTTAAATCTGCAGGATTTATAGCTGATGGAAACCAATTCCATAGTTGTTTGTATCAGTGAATTGTAAAATTTCTTGTATACTGTCGCTTCCTATGATTTTAATCTACCATTTTCAGATTTTAACTAGTTCAAAATAATCCAGGAGTCAGTCCAATAAGATGTTTTGGAAATATGTACCTAGTTCCATTTTTGATCATTTTTCCTAGACATGCTCCCAAAACTGCTCCTTGTAACTCCATTCTGGGGATTGTTAAAATTTTATTCAAAGGACCCAGTTTGCAGGTTTGAGGCAACAAATGAAACCAACTATTCTTTTCCAAATGTAAAAATACAGCAGCATAAGCTTTATCACTTGCATCTGAAAATTTATGCATCTCGACTTCTTGGACATCGCAAACTCCAGAAAAATATTGCTTTGGGATCTTCAAATTGTAAATATTTTCAATATTTTTACATCACTTTTTCCATTTCTCAAAAACTTTCTCAGGTAACTCCATTTCACTGTAAATTTTTTCTCCTGCCCACATGAAAAAAATAGGACTAAAAAATGACGTCAAATGTACATGTGGAGAAACTGGGGATTTCGATCATTATATTTTGAGCTGTATGGAGCACAATGGGCATAATTTTGACAATTTAATTAGCTATATAAGAGAAAGTGGAAAAAAAATTCCATATAATTTAAGTATAAAAATGATGTCGCAAAATGTAGATTTATACATATAGGGAATTGTATAAATTTATTACCTATCTCCCAAGAATCTTGGAATATAATTATATATATACAAATCGGCTTCAAAACGTTCTTCGACATGCCCAGTCGCCATTGATCTCTATCCAGCCAGAGATCCTCTTCAAGTCCCCGGTCTCTTATCTCCTTGTCTATCCCTTCTTTCTAGCTTTTTCGTGGTCTTCCTCTCTTTCGTCTTCCTGCTGGCTTCCAATCAAGAATCTGTTTTGGCAGTCTCTCATTAGACATTCTTTGCACGTGGCCATACCATTTTAGCTGTTGTGTTCTTATGTCGTCAACGATTGTCCTATTTATACCCATGATTTCTCGAATTCTGTTGTTAGTGATTCTTTCCGCTCTAGATTTTTCTGCAGCACGCCTCCAAAAATCCATCTATGTAGCTTCGAGGGTACGAACGGTTCTATCCTTTAGCTGCCATACTTCGCTTCCATAGGAGACAATGCTTTTAATATCTGAATATAATTATTCCTTGTATTATTTATGGTGATAGGAATCCGACGGGATCAAAAATTGTGATAATAACTTTCAACATTTCTCGTTTTTTGAATTTGAATTGGAATATAAAATCATTATCTTTCCTGTTTCAGCATAAACCTAATATTTTTTCAACTTTTTTTTCTGGGAAACTAATATTTAAATTTTTTTTGGGGACAATATGACTTTTTGGAATAAAACTTAATATTTCTGTTGAATTAATCAATTAACCATACTGAATCCTTTGCGTTCATGAACTTCAAGTACAGATTGAATTAGGGATTAAAGTAACGTTACCGCGGTAACGGTAATTTTGGTAATTTAACCCGATTTTCTTCACCGGTAATTTTCAGAAATTCAGGCGACAATCCTTTTCACGCATTATTCACCATCTAGTTGTGAATCTGTAACGCATTTTCAGGGTTGGCATCAAAAAACCTATTTCAAAAACTCAGTGGGTTTTTGTTGAGTTCTGAGTTTGAGGTTATCAAAAATCAAAATCAAAAAATGTTTACTTTATCTAAGTATTTTACAATAATATAGGAAATACAAAACAAATAGTTCTGGGGCACAATGGACCAAGAGGTAGTCTGTGTACGTACCGTTTGTCACGTTTACAATGATTTTATATAATTACTGATTGGATAATTCGTTTGAAACAATATCACTCCCAAATTGGTAAACAGGAGGGGAAAAGTGCATGATTTGCTTATAATTAAATTTATACATTCCTTAACCAAGGTATTTGATTACAGATAATGCTCATACTTTTCAATTATCAATTTTTCCTCACTCTATTGTTATTGCAATTCTTAAGGTGACTAGGGATAATGTTTATTATTTTCGATGAGGTAAAAGAAATATGTCGTTGGGTAGCCAAAAGAGTGTATTTGGCAAAGTTATTATTTAAATTTGATCTAGTTCCAACAGTATGGTGGCTAATTATGTTGTTATACTTATTTCTAGAGCTAAATCTAATAACTTTCTTTATATTAATCTGTCTCATATCCAACAAACCTGATTTTTTAAATAACAGCTCAGTAGAGAAGCACTTGTTTGTGAATAACATAACTTTGAGGATGTATTTCTGAGTAACAAATAGGGATTTAAAAACACTATCGCAGGCAGCCCCCCAAGCCGTGATATTATAGTTGATAACAGACTGAATAAATGCCTGATAAAAGGTTTTCAAAGTTTTTTGAGTTACTACCTCCCTCAATTCATAAAATTATAGAGCAAATTCCTCAGTTTTTGATTTTCATATTCGACATGCCTGTGCTAAGTCATACATTGGTCAAAATACACCCCCAAATACTTCAGATTGTCTTTCCTCTTTATATTCACAATCGCAAGAATCGTCCAACCCACAGTCAAATTTATGTAGCCTTATCGACTCCCTATCAGGTAGACGCCTTGCAGTCTTCAAGAACGTCAAAAAGCTTGTTTTGTCTGTATTTAGCGTTAGGAGGTTGAAATCCAACCATTGCTTGATTTTGGACATAGCCCTTTCACAGTCGTCAAAGGCATCCTGCTAGGTCCGGTCCCTAATCAACAATACCGTCTCGCCAGGGAAACATAGGATTTTGCTATCAATATTCACACTGATCAGTGAATTTACATAAATTTAAAAAAGGACCGGACCCAAGACAGTACCCTGAGGGACACCACATTCGACTCTTCTGGCACTACTTGCACTCTTGCCCATCCTGACAACTTGAGTTCTATCTTGCAGATACGTTCTGAAAAGGTTCAGAGCACTGAGGGCCATAATTTTTAAGTTTTTCAAGTAGAATACGATGCTCCACAGTGTTGAACGCCTTCGACAGGTGCAGAAAGACTGCAAGGGCGCGTTCACAGTGGTTTTCCCTGGGTAAAACTTAACCAGGTTAAATATTTCACTGGTTGAAAAGGATGCGCTTGGGATGACAAATCCGTGAACGACTAACGCCTGCGCCATAACGAGGTAGGATTTGATTTTGTTTTCCTTTTGTTTACATACGTTGTGTTTCGAATGTTTCGAGATGGATCCGGGAATAATATTTTTTAAAAGTACTATTGAAACTTCTTCGGATTCGTCTGATACAGAGGAAGAAGTCAGCTATGCTGTAGCACAAGCTGCATGTGCTAGCGCTAGCAGTTTATGTTCAAGCCTGAAAAAAGGCATATTGAAAGACAGGATAATTTTATGGCAACAATACGCAATTATAGCGATAAGGAGTTTCAGGAAAATTTTAGAGTTTCCAGAGAAGCTTTCAACTGGCTTCCTGGAAAACTTGAAAACCAGTTGAAGTCAGCAATGCATGGCCCAGAAAGATTACCAACAGTATTGTTTATCAAATTTCAAATATTCTTGTAAAACGCCTGCGCGACAAATTTTACCCATGTCTCAGAGTGGGTTAGAAAGTTGTACAACCGGGTAAACTTATCATGGCTCTGTGAACGGAGCAAATATTTTAACCGGGTGAATTAGGTAGATCCGTGAACGACTTAACACTGCAAAAGACGCGCTCGGTGTGTACTCGGTGAGCGTCCGGCGTTCGACTGTGAACGCACTCCAAGGGCCTTGAGTCCCTCATTGAAACCGTTCACTATAAAGTCAGTTACCTTGGTGATGCCATAAGAACGCCCAATGCACCAAAAACAAAATTCTCATCTACAGGACAGGACTATCATAAGATTTATTCACGCATTATTGTTTTTAGGTATGGCCTGTGTCCAAATGGCCAATTCTTGTGCAAAAACAACAGGTGTATTGCAAAGGAGGCTCTGTGCGACAGGAATAACGATTGCGGTGACAATAGTGATGAAACTGATTGTGATTTATCGCCTTGCAAATGGAACACTTGTTCGCAAATATGCATAGAAGTAAGAATTTTTTAAATTAATACCCTCTTTGAGTCACAATCTCTGTTTTGCTTGATCCTCCAAACTATATGTTTTTCTGGAATTGAACAAAAGTTAACTGCCGCTAACATTTTATATAATCATTTCAATTTCAGTCAAGAGTAAACCAAACATCTTGCAAATGCGTGGAAGGATACAGATTGACAGGCCGTAACGGTCAATGCCAAGCCGAAGGTGATATGGCTGAGCTAGTTTTAGCAGCTGAAGCTGAATTGAGACTCATTTCCCCCTACAAAATGGGCGATATTAATAAAATGAAAAAAACGCAAGCTATTGCACCAGGATATAAAGTCGATTCAGTCGATATTCTCTACGGCAAAAAGCAAGCCGAAGCTTTCTGGACGGATCACCAAAATAAACGCGTCCAATCGATGGTCATTCAAATAGAAGACGAAAGAAGAACCAATAGAGATGCAGATTTTGCCAGGACTGTGCTTTCGAATCTACGAGAACCGAGAGGCATCGCTTTAGATTGGGCTGCCAGGAGAATCTACATTACAGATTCTAGCAGGCTTTTGGTGTCCGATTTAGAAGGGAAATTTAACTTTACTTTGATATCGACCAATTTACAGAATCCGAGGGATATTGTTTTGGCACCGGGAGAAGGTTTATTGTTTTGGGCTGATTGGGGACCAGAACCAAGAATTGAAAGAGCTGACATGGACGGGTAAGAATTTTCTTAAATTTAATGGTTAAAAGTATGCATTTCTTTATTAAAGAATAAGTTAAAGTAGAAGAGAATTATGTTGGCACAAAAATCTTCATTGGTGATTTTTTTTCAGATACAATCGAAAAGTTTTGGTCAACAACCTGCTCTGGCCTACCAGTTTAGCTATCGATTATCCTACCAAACGGCTCTATTGGTGTGATCCTAAAGCTTCAACTGTGGAAAGTGTAGCCTTCGATGGTAGAGATCGTCATCTTATCAAACGTTTTGAAGAGGCTTCAATAAAACCTTATAAATTAGAAGTTTTTGAGGACAATCTGTTTGTATCAACTTATCAGAGACACGACGTTATAAGGTTTAATAAGTTTGGCAACGGGGCAGATATGGTATTTTTAGCTCATGGTTTAACAAGGTAAAAATGCCAGTATTTTTAACTCTTCAATTGTCAATTATTCTTTTTTTTTACAGGGTTTCAGATATTTTGATCCTTCAAGAAAATAAGCGCCCCAAATTGAATAACTCGTGCAACGATTTCTGTAGCAATAATGAATTTTGCTTGTTGACACCAAAAGGAGCTCGTTGCGTTTGCTCAAATGGCTATATCAACGATAATTTTACTTGTAAAGCTGTTACGCCTCCCACTCCACATTGTCCACTTAATTGTAATCTCGGACAGTGCAAGGTAAGAAATCAAATTTGGGAAAATAACGTCAATAAAATCTTTTGACTTTTAGATTGAAACAGGTAAAGCTGCATATTGTGTGTGCCCAGCGCTTTATTTCGGAAACAGATGTCAGCACTATCGTTGTTCTCAACATTGCAAAAACGGCGGCGTTTGTGTTCTGGATGCTTCTTGGAATTCTACTTCGTTATTGGCCCCGGCCGATCAAGGTGTGTAATAATCCTAATAAAGTTTACAATGTCAAGAAAAAGGTAGACAAATACATTCTTATTCTCCATTGCCCAAAATAGCTATTATCGTAATCCTGAAGTTAGTGATGTTTGAAGCAGGAATTATAAACATAACTAAGTATATATTAATTTTTTTCAGATAAACCTCCATTGAAATGTATCTGTCCCCCTCAATGGTACGGTAAACGTTGTGAGAAACGCCTACCCTTGTGCAAAGATTTCTGCAACAATGGCGGCACTTGCACGTTGTTGATGGGACTGCCTCACTGCACCTGCAAGGACGGTTTTATGGGCTTCAGATGTCAGCACTGTACTAACTTTGATTGCGGTAGTGGCGGCAGTTGTTCGATGAGAAATGGAGTGCAATCTTGTACTTGTTCGCAAGGTAATTTGATTGATTTAAAAATAATTTATGGTTATGGCTAACAAAGAGACATTCTGTGTGGAATTTTATATAAGAAATAAATACTAAAAAACTACAAGGACCCAAAACTCTCTAAACAAGATATCAAGCTAATCAAGCAAAATTTTATATGGAAAAGAAGAAACCATAATACATAATCTCAAAAAGTGCCTGAAAAGAGAGACTTGACAGAAGTCTATATAAAAAATGTAAATTCAAGGCTTTGGTACCAGTTCCTTTAAACTAATTTGAGGTCTGTGATAAATATAAATTATATGTTAGGTACACTGAAACATTGTTTTCAAAAAATCTTTATTTTCATATTTTTACAAAGTTTGAAAGTGGAATTAATAGAATGCTGAGTTATCATGTTATAATATGCTGGGTCGCTGATGTCGATGAACCTCCTCGATAAATGAGCTGTTGATGGCTCCATGTTGTTGGCTATATGATTCCTAACATATACACTCAAAAAAATTACTTTTCAATTATATAAGATTTCACTCAGGAGTGTGCCTATTTCCCATAAGCTTCTATCCAGTTAAACATAATAAAACATCATAATACTTTTTTTCTCCAGGTTATAGTGGCCAACATTGTGAAAAATCAGTATGCGGTCCTCACGGACAAGTAGTATCACTTCCCAAAGGCATTCAATGCGATTGTCACCTGGGTTACACTGGAGAACGTTGCGAGACCAGCAGGTGCAACGGCCTATGTCAGAATGGTGGCACTTGTACAGCAGCTACCCTTCAATGCACGTGTCCTCCGAATTTCACCGGTCCTCGTTGCGAACAAGACATTTGTGCCACATCAAAGAGTTGCTGTCATAATGGAGGTTGCAAAAACGGCGGCCGGTGTGTAGTGATGCACGGCGCGAGAGTTTGCAATTGCACCCAGAGATGGGGCGGTGAAAATTGCGAAGTTTACATAGGCAATGATAATCCTTGCGATGGTTTTTGTAAGAACAGTGGCATATGTCAAATTTTGAAACCAGGAGATGTTCCTAGATGTTGGTGTCTGCCTTCGTGGTCAGGTCCAACGTGCACCAAATCTACTTCAAGTTTGTGTAGCAACTATTGTCACAATGGCGGTTCTTGTACCGTTATTCAAGGCAGTCCTAATTGTACGTGTACGTCTGATTATCAGGGTGCTACTTGTACAGTACTACGCGATCCTCAAGTGCTTCTCGCACAACAAGAAGGCAACAGTCCAGAGGGACGAAGTATATGGATACCGATAGCGTGGGCTTTGGCTGTTATCCTGATTGTATTAGCAATAGGAATTGTGCTGTTTGAGTATGTGTTTAGGAGGAGGACGATATTTTCACACGAGAGGTTGCAGGAGAATGATTTTCATAATCCTATGTATCAGGATAGGGATGCTGAACCGTTCACTTTGGAGGCAGATAAGGTAATTTGAAGTTATTTATTATTTATTTTTTTATTCATTTATTTAAGTAAAAAGACTAACTTACATAGTGGTTTATAAATCATCACTCTAAACACAAGATCAAAAAATGATTTTTTGTTGAAATGTCGATAAGTAAATGTGGAAATTATTTTAAATTTTCTATGAGTGACATTATGTAGGTTTGCTAACTTTGGATAATAAATCTTATGAATATCTTGCGATGGTGTCACATTTGGGATTTGTCTGCTATATCAACTGAACAACCAGATTTAAATGCAGTTCATTTTAACATGATATTTTTGTTTAAAGTAGACTCATGTCAATTTCCCTGAAATAACATACATTTCTATGTATAGAAATGACACCTGTATTGTTTATCTTTACCTCAATGTTTCTAGTTTTATGAAACTCGATAAGTACACTTTGTAAATTCACCAGTTTTCAGCTTCTGCTGTTATTTTCTTCCCTTGAAATCCAGCCACAATTATTGACGTTGAAACCAATCTATAAATTTTCAAAACTCTCCTGTATGCAGTTTTTCATGTATAGATCGATTTGGTTTCCAGTGGGACACCCTGTATAGCTTTTCTGTGTTATTGTCATTTCTCAAGATGTTCCATTTATCTCCATCCTTATAAACTTCTCTACGTCATTCAGAACACTGGCATTCAGTTTGCACCTTATCTTTGTTTTCACTTTTCAGTAATTAATTCATTCACGAATACTATCAACTAACCAAACATCTGTATGTGAATGAAGACAACAATAGTAATAATAAGTATTCAGGAGCATTCTCTGAACTATCCTCATTGATTCAAAATACAAATCTGTTGTCCATGATTGATTCATTATCTGCAAGTTTACGTACAGTGAGTGTAAGTTCGAAGAGTATTATGTGACTCCAACTCACTTATTATGCCAATTCATCGTTCTATACATTCTATAATCTTCCATTTGTTTAGTTGCCTCCCGGTTGTTGATTTTTTTTTGTTTCTTTGGTTTTCTTCATGTGAGTACTTTTCAGATTCAGCTTTGCCGTTCCGTTCTGAACTATTGAAGTCTCAGATGAGAATTGTGCTCATTATTTCTTGATTTGTCTCTTTAGTCTCTTAGTACTGCTTCACCATATTTTTTCCTGCAGGTTTTGTTTCTCTGATTATTTCTTCATTCTTCTTTGGACTCTCAAGGAAAACAACATTTCTGTGAGTTTTTTTTTTTGTATTCGGGTCAATCAGCCTAAAACCCTTTCTTCTCTCACCATGGTGCATAAAAAGTAATTTTTGAGATTTTGAATTTCACTTTTTTGCCTGGTACATGAGCCATTCACAGCCAGATATTTTTAATTGTGATAAGTCTGTCTTTCTCCTCAACTATGCTTTATAAGGTGTTCAACTTTCAACTGCTTTCCTTGGAGATCTATTATTGGTATAAACAACAGTGTCTACTGCACTAAAAGTTTCCAAGTAGTTTCCGGTTCCAGCAACATAATTATCTAAGACCATAATTCAGAGTTCCTTTCAGATATCTGATTCGTCTGAAACTTGTTTCATCCTTATGAGAATGAGGTAGTCAAAAAAATGGTAAATGGGTAACAGAAGAAATCAAACAGCTGCAGAGACACAGTCTATGAGAGGTTTTATATGACAGTCAAAAAGTGAAGTTGATTAGAAGACATTTAAGAAATGAGAAGATTAATTATTACACAATATCAGAATATAAGCCCAGCTGAATTACAACCATAATCTGAATGAATAATCAATATATTCAATTCAAACAAAATTAATGGGAAAACTTTGGAATTAGACACCACTGAATGTAAATATTGTGTATCAAGATTTTATTGGAAATATACAGGAAGCAGTACAGTAATTTGGGCCTATGACAATGTCTTCTTGTTTGGGACTTTCAAGATTTCTGGATGCAACACCTACTGCATGTGCTATATAAGGCCTTGTTCCAGTTATTAATATGAAAAAGCTTACTATTTCTAGAATTAATAGGAGATAAGTGTCAACCAATATCTAAAAGTAATTCAGGAGTCTCCATAATATTATTTAAAATTTTCTACAACAAACAGATGGCAAAAAAGTTTCTCCAAAGATGTTGAGTTCAACAATTTCCTATTTTTTTCACAATTAATATTCTCATAAGGAATATTTAGTTTAAATCATATTTTTTTGAGAAATTTATTTTGTACTCTACTACTCTATAGTTTTTCCTTATGCACAGCATAATATGGTTGCCACGCAGTATTTCCATACTCTAAAATGGATCGAACCAGAGAACAATAAACATATCCTATTGTAAGAACATTATTAAAACCTTTAAGGGCCAGTTTCACAAACAGTGGTAACCCAACGGTAACCACAAGACACTGATAACCTACAATAGGTCTGTTTCCACAGAAATCACAAACCAATCAGAGTGAATTTCATTGGTTGAAAACAGTCAGGAAAATGGTTGTTGGCAATTCGAACCAATCAAAACCGCTCTGACTGGTTTGTGATTTCTGTGGAAACAGACCTAATATATCTGTTTCATAATGTGTGGTTTAACCAAAACCATTGGTCCAGCTTCAGAATATTTAATGTAGTCAACTTGCAACTATGAGTTTGATCACTAGTGCAGAATACCACCAGTTGTGAAACTGGGCCTAAGAGTTCTAAACACAAACCGCAGTGACTTGATTGCTCTATTTGTTATTATATGTTGGATGTGGAGCATCCCATTTTAATAATGGACTGGCACAAATCGTAACAGAGACATATTTGTGGTTCGAGAGCAATAAGTCCAAATAATTTCCATACCTGTTTGAAATTTGTATATTTGGATACAGACCAAGATAAGCCATCCAATCTGCAATTACTGAAACTTTATTTGACAAGAAGTCAATTAGACTAGTTCCATTTGGACTATTTACCCATGTTATCTTAGGCAGGTTGAAATCCCTCCAGAGCAATACATCTGTAAAGTCGTGCTGGTGTATTAATTCAACAACTGAGAGGCTGAAACTTTCATACACCTTAACGGATGATTCAGGAATATATGCATTCCCAATTATAATTTTATGAGATGCAATAGACAATACAACCAACAGATGTTCTACATTATTTATTGGGGTAGTAAGTTGTGGACAGGAGCATCAGAAGGATCATCGTCATCATAGCTAATCAAAATTCCTTGTGATGATTTTCTCTTCACTTTTGGAATGTCAGCGTAACATGTAGATCCAACAATTCTCGCGTGTTCGAGTTCTGATTTCTCACCAATTCAAATTTCATATGAGCTTTTATCAGGGACACTTGACTTTTCTGTTAAAGATGTCCCTACCCAGCTGCGTTAACCATCATAGTCCACAGGCTCTAAGTTAGTTGACTGCTGGATACGGAACATGGTTTTGCTGAATGCTGTCTCTTCCACAGTCCGATTTGCATGTTGTGAACAGCCATTTTGTTCCTTAGTGGAGGGCATAATGAGTCTTTGAATTATTCCACTTCTGTTGAGAATCTTTCGTAATCTTTGATTGCCAAATTCTTCATTGTTGTCGCTAAGGAAGGTCAGATTTTTTTCCATAAAGTAAAGAAAACGATACCTGTTGTAATCATATTTGAACAGAACATAGTACTTATTGTTATTATTATTATTATTATAAGTTTGAGCCGCAGTAAGCGGCAACGCCGATGAGTTTACTGCTTTATTGTTATATCCTTGTTTTCACTGTTATAAGTCACATATTTATGTAATGCACAAAATTCAGTCTAGCTCTCTCCAGGTCCCGGTCAAGTCTGTTTTTGAATGCGTTCTTTGTAGGAGCACTGACTGTGCTTTCCTGAAGGGCGTTCTACGTTCTACTGATAACCCTATCCGTCAGAAAATTCTTTCTGATCAGCTTCGAGCATCTCTCCTTATTCAGCTTCTTAGTATGGTCTCAGAGTTGCTGGTTAGTATTTAGATTGAAAATGTCCAGTTGCAAATCTGGAGAATAATGGTGATTTAAGATTTTGTACGTCTCAGTCAAGTACTCTCTCTCTCGTCTAGCTTTTAGTGCTGTTATGTCGTATTTCAATAGTCTTTCTACGTATGAGAGATTTCTGATTTCAGTGGGGAGTTTTGTCACTCTACGCTGGACTATTTTCAAAATCTCAATGTCCTTAACCAGGTATGGGCTCCAAACCGAATGTGCGAACTCCAATTTAGGTCTGATACATATTTCATATATTTTGCTAATCATAGGAATGGATCTGTCACTAAAAGCTTTCTATATGAGGTATACAAAAGAGTTTGTCCTCTTGACAACTGAAGAAACATTTTCCCATTTAAGGTGATTTGAGATAATGACACCCAGATCTTTTTGATCAGTGACAGCCTTCATGGTAGTGCCGTTTAAGCTGTAATAAGGTATGTTTGGATTATTAGCTGCCATCCGCTGATCCATTTCTCGAGTGTTTTCAGGTCGTCTAAAAGGTTGTGATGCTCCAAGTGCGGATTGCAATGTAATAGTGGAGGTTTTCTTGGGAGTCAGTCAGGTTGAAAATTTTTTTTTTTTTTTTCATTTTTCAATCTGACTCACTCCCAAGAAAACCTCTACTATTTCAAAAAAACAGTCAAGAAACCGCATCAAAAAATATATTTTTGTGTCATCAGCATAAAAAATAATTGTTTGTCTCTATAAGAGAATGAAGATCGCTGATGTATACCATACACAGCAGTGACCCCAACATCGATCCCTGTAGCACCCCACTAAAGACCTTGTACTCATCAGAGTAATGACCATTTGCTCTCACTTGAAATGTTCGGTTTTGTAAAAAACTGCCTATCCATCCGAGAAGGTCACCCCTGATTTCAAAAGTGTTGCAGTTTGAATAATGCTTGAATGCCCCTGTGTCAAATGCTTTCTCATAGTCTAAGTACAGTAATCCACCGGATGGCCACTGTCAACTTCTTTCGTCCATGAGTTTATGCAGGTGCGTAGGTTGGTTGTGGTAGATCGTTGGGGGAGAAATCCGTGTTGGGTGGGTGGGATGGTGTTGTTTTTTACAAGGAAATATGTCATTTCCTGAACTATAATTTTTTTCCATGATCTTGCAGAGGTTACAGGTAAGGCTAATTGGTCTGTAATTTCCGGGGTTGAGCTGATCCCCTTTTTTTGTAGATTGGCACTACATATGCTCGAGACCATCCCTGTGGCACAATTTGCTGAGTGATTAGTGACTGCAAGAGGCTAGTTATCACTGAAGCCAACGTCCTTTGGCAATTTATTAAAAATATTGCCGGTATTTCATCTGGGCTTAGATTCTCTTTTCAGAGTAGAGATTGCTTGAATCTATGGTTGTTTATGATTCAATAGATCTAGTATTCTGCAAAAGCGATGGAAAATTTACTAGGTTTTCTCTGGTGTATACCTTCACAAAGTGATCCGCGAATGTGTTAGCTATCTTCTGAGGATCAGAGATAATCACTCCTGTGATTGGTTCTCTGAGCATAAGCTCGGATATTGTTGCTGTTTAATGTTCTCTTAACATACGTGTAAAACTGTTTTTCGTCTCTGTTGTCCAATAGACCATTTTCGTATTCTATCCTGGCTGATATGATTGTGTTCTTTAGGCTGTTATTTTGAGTTCTGTACAAATTGTAATTATCTGATGTTTTGTTCTTGGCATATTTATCCCAAAGGTTTCCATTTTCTCTCGATTGTTCTAAATATTGCATTATTTAACCATGGTTTTTTATGATTCACAAGCTTAGGTTTGAGTGGGATATAGATTTCAATGGTTTCCTTCACGATGCCCTCAAATTCATTGAATTCCATATTGTCAGTATTTGTGTCTGCAAGCCTGGTATTAATATAGACATTAACGCCGTCATAGTCTGCCTTCCAGAAGTTAAGTTTAAGTAATTTCCTAGTTGGTTGTTGCCCAAGTCTCAACTGGGCCATGGCGGTGATTACTGCGTGGTCGCTCAGCTCCAGTGGTGGGTGATGTTCGATATTTGAGATCAGTTTTTGTTTTCCTCAAATGTTTCTTTGAGAGTGTCCAGAAGCCTCCTGTTCTGTTCCAATGTGATATGATGAGGCCTGTATATACAGATCAGAGTAAACTTGATGTCCGTTATTTTGATATTTAGCCCAACAGCGTTGTATTTGTGGTTGATGTTCGCGCAAATTTTTTGGCCGTTGATTTCAGATTTTATCCAGATACAGACTCCTCTTCCTTCTTGATCCTCACGGTCATCTGTGAACATATGATATCCAGGTAGGCATATGAGTGAGTCCGGGATTCCTTTGTGAAACCATGTTTCGGTAACCAGAATGAAAGTTGGGTTCTTCCTAAGCACGTCTGTCTGGAATAAATGAATTTTATTGTTCAGTAAGTTGGCATTTGCCTAGTAAAATATAACTTCAGATATTATTGGGAGTTTTTTGGCCGCCTTCAGCATTTGCCATAGCCTCTCTGGATTTGACGATCTTTGGGATCCCATTATAATATTTGATTTTGATAATTATCTCACCCTTCGCTGTTCTTTCATCAAGTTCTCATATAACCTTGCCTAAGTAGGCTCTTTGTGCTTTAGTTTGATCATATTTTAAATATTTTCTTCTTCCATCCAGTTTACTCTTGAATCTGAGGACGGACAACGCATCTACTTCCGGGTTAAAAATCCTAGGCCTAACTTTTCCTGCTGTGAATTGGCCAAGCCGAAGGGTTGTAATATCCGCGAGAGGTGTATTGGGGTTCACCGACTTCATAAGATCTCCCACTGCCTTTATTTCCTTCTCCATCCTGCCTTTTCTTGTATTTGCCTCACTTTGATTTAGTCCAAATATGAGCACGTTTACCTTCCTTCGCTCTCTTCCCTGTATCTCATAGATGGCAGGTTCTACTTCGGGTTGGGATACAGTATCTGAGAGAACCACAGTTGTAATGTGTGTGTTCAATTTTGTCAGCTCCCTGTTTCACCGATGTTATCTCAGTGTAGCTTGGATTTCGATTGATCTGTTACTGCAATTCTTGCATTTCACTACTTAAAGCTGTTGTTTTTGCTTCCAACTCTTGCAACATCGTTTTTCACTTCTTAGTGTGTGAATGATGGTAACGTTTTGACTGAGCCAGCACATACATCACAAAAGAACAGCATGGCCCTGGTGGCAAGAATTGTTGCCCATATTTCAGTGGAGGTAACATTGGAGCCGTCTTTGCATATTACTTTTTTGCAGCAATCACATGGACAACCAAAGATCACTCCCGTTGGGGGATTTTCCTAGGGTGTGCAAAATCTCTTGCACCTTGAGCATTCAGGCATGTTCCCTTTATTCTCTTTTACTATTTAGGTTCACTGATTATATCTGTTATCCTACTTTGCATAAACATAAATTCAGATTCAGATCGGAGTGCCATAATTCATACCAGGGGGGCTTTATTTGAAATTGATGCAACTTTGCGTACACGCAAATATGACACAAGTGACGTCAGTTGCGATTGAAAAAGTGCATGTCAAATAAGCCGTGCACCAATAGGGAACTTGCACATTAAATTAAATATGGAATAAATTCGAATAAATAATAAAACGCAATAACAAACATCCTATAATAAATGATGCAATTAGGAAATAGTATATTACATTACGAGTGTAGAAAGTGACAAATTTCACACGAGTGTTTTTTCGCGCGTGGCGGTAGCCGAGTGCGAAAATCACACGAGTGTATGAAAGACGCTTTCTCACAAATGATGTACACCATTTTTCCTACGACCGGAAACCGATTTACACCAATTTCCTCTTATTTTATTTCTTTTCATTTTCAACACACGTGCTGAGAGTACTTTCAATCCACGTATTGAAAGTGAATTGCGATGTCAATCACAAATAATGTCAACAGTATTTTCCACACGTGTGCTGGAAGTATTTTCAGCAAACGCATTGAAAGTACTTCCAGCACGCGTGTGATATTTCGCGCTTTCCAAAGAACCAGCTAGTGTGGTTTTTGTCATTTTCATATGTGGTCGTAGGAAAAAAAATATAATATCTTATCTCTGGTGTCCAAAATCTTCAATTGAAAATACCAAATAATTAGAAATTCATGATGCGATCAAAAACGTGTTTCGATGGGTCGTGACGTCACAAGGCAGTTATATTCGGGTCGCGTCACTGCCACGCCATGTGATGCTGGTGTCGTCAATGTCAAATCTATTGGGAACGGCATACATAACAACATAACCGTAATCTAAATCTACCTGCTCAAAGTTCGAAGTGCTCGTCACTGTCAATGGAATTTTGTTGCCGAGTGACGTCACACTAATCGGTCGTTTCAAATGGCGATGTTTCGAGCGTAACTTCAAATTTTTATAAGAAATTAACGGCTAATTTTTAATGCTTGATATTTGGCATGAGTGTGTCTTTAGTGTAGTAAAACACATTTTTGAAATAAAAAAAAAATGTGCAAGTTCTCTATTTTGAATCATGAATGACGTCATTTGCGTGTACGCAAAGGTGCATCAATTTCAAAACGACGAACATTATATGTCGTTTATTCTGATATCCCAGCCTTTCATAATACAGCTGTAACACGTTTTATGGTTTCTGTGACATCAGACTAGTTGATATTTCTTGGCTTAACATTTCTTGAGCATAATTTGTAGTGATTCGTAATGATTTCTAGAACCATTCAATACGACTCGAACATTGATTTTGAATTTACACTCTTTGGTTTTCCAGTTGAACTGGCTACCTAGATTTTTGTCTCAAGCAGAAAGCACTGAAAATAGATTTTTCTTGACATTCGAAACATTACAAGTGTGATTGTACCTTTACCAATTGCTTGAATCAAATTTCCACTTTCATTAAATTTAAAGTAGTTGCAAAAGAGATTTTTCTTCAGGTAGTGTCTATTCCTGTTGTTGTAATTTTCAGCTGCCAATGGTTTCTGGCGGTTATCTTCGTTTTTGTTCTGTAAAGCTTTAATTGGTGAGATTATCAATAATTGTTCTCTCATCTTCTCCACCTTAACTTGAACGAAAAATATGTTTTGTTATGATTATAATATAGGCAAAGTTTATTATTAATTTACTGTGTTTATTAACAATGTTTTCAATTTTTACTTTACAGTCTGGCAATTTCGAAAATCCCGTCTACGAGTCGGTATACAATGGCACCACAAGCGGCCGAGAAGAAAAAGCCGTTTTACTGGAACACACAGCGGACGATACTCCGCCTCCACCAACGGAAGAACTTTAATTTTATTTCTGATCGAATTTTAGATGATAAGACGGGTCTAGTACTTTAGCAAAATTTGATTTTTTTTGCTAATTTTTTTTTTTGTGATGAATCTCTTTATTTCATAATGCAGCTAACTTTGACATTTTTTCGCATTTTTATTTTAAGTTGTATATACTCTGGAACGTTAATTCCTTAAACATTTTTATTTTATTTAGAAACATACACTTTATTTATCCAATTTATGTCTTTCCGCTGACTTTCAGGGCTCTGATTGGTCAAAATATTTCCTCACCAATGAGAAGCAATAAATTAATCCAATAGGAACAATTTTTGTGTTTTTGAAAATCAAGTACCAAAACACAAAACTAGCGAAAAATACTAATTTTTTTTTATTGGTGACATAAATCAGTTGTTTATTTGGGTTGTAGAAATGGAAAAGACTGTGTATGTACAAGCATGCTATGAAATTACTAAATTAAAATCTCTACATTCCTTGAAAGGCTTTTCGAATAATCTAGTTTTGAAGCATTTATTTTTTTTTGCTAATTATTTTAACAGTAGAACTTCTGTTGTGAAATGTGCCATTTTTATTATTTTTTATTAACTTTAACTCGCATTACTTTCTTGCCTTTTAGCAGCTCTCTACATTTTATTTTAAGGATAGATTAAGGTATCCTGGTAATGACTGTAATTCTTACTCATAAAGTGTTAATGTAAATAACAAAATTTCCTTGGCATTACGGTTATTGACGGAACAATAAAATAATTATTATTACGATGTGATTTTTTGAGGCAACTTGTATACTATTGTCCAATTTTGTCAGATTTTTGTCTGATTCTCAGTTTGATGAAATATGAAAAAATGCAACACGATACGTCCGTTTGTAAATAACTTACATGTGATTGAAATTTTTTTAACAAAAAAAATCTATAATATAAAAAAAAAATATTTTAAATGTGAAACTATCCAATGATGTTGTTTATTAAGGTGTTTTCGTGGTTGTGCCAAAACAAAGATTTGTTTTATTATTTCTTCATATCTTATCGAGAAACCTATAATAATTTAAACGGATTTTTTTGCTCAAATAATAATAAATAAACTCAAATGTTTTTAGAATAATTTTTATTAAATTCTGTATAATGATGTTTTTAATAAATGTAAATGAATGTCCATATTTTAGTTTTATTTCCTTAAGGCCTGGTTTATTCAACTTCAGATTAAGTTGCAAGTAACTATGTTCATGAGCTGGTATAAAATAGTTATTTATGTATCAAGGGTATTAAGTAGATGATTATGCCCTGAGGGCGACACTCTTACAAAGCCGAGGGCCTCTGGCCCGAGGGTATATATCTATTAGTACCCGTGGTACATACAAACTTTTATGTCATACCAGTTGTCACTTCGCAGTCATACCAAAAGTGTCACCACAAAACATCCCCCCTTAGAAATGTAAGTCTTATGAGAGACGTCAGTCTAGTCGTTTCAGCTTTCCCCTCCAATCACTAGAGGCGCTTCAATCAACCTATTAAAGTTTTCTTTTTCCTGCCGGACCGTGCGCCAAAATTTGAAGTTTATTTTGTCATTTCCAGTCGTCAAAATTTAAATTTTGAACTTCTCCCAACATTTAGAATTATCAATTACCTATCAATTATCAATAATTATTATCTCAAAATGTCTTCTCCCAGTTTGTTAATTGAAAAGCATCAGAAATGCTGTGTTCCGGGGTGCGGCGACAAATACAGCAGCTATTTCCGGTTTCCAAAAGATGCCGAAAAAATGAAACAATGGCTAGAAAAAGTTCGCAATCCTTTACTAAATAGCCTCAGTGTCGAGAAGGCTTATAATAATTATAGAGCGTGAACAAGACATTTTCCTCGAGAATTTATTGTTGGCGATCCAAAAGCCAGACGAGGACTCACATGGAATGCTGCGCTTTTGCTGTATCTCCCTGAAGGTAAGTAAATACTAGATATATGTGAGAAAGACGTACTTACATTTTCACTTACTCCTCCGCATAGTTCTGATTAACGACAACGTGTTAGAATTCGGGTTTAAAGGAGCATAGGTCAGAAACATTAAAATTAATTTTAATTTTAGCCCCAATTATCAAAAACAGTGAGGAGTCGTTAATTGATAAACCACAATCACCAAAATGGCAAAAAGAGGAGATCGACACAGTTGAAACTCGTCGAAGAGTCCTAAGACGCCTTCAGAAATTAGTTTCGCAACTATGATTGACATAGGTAGGTAATAGTATATTACATACCGAGGTGGAAAGTGTTTCATTACTGTCGAGAGATTTTAGTTAGACCGAGGCACAGCCGAGGTCTAACTAAAATCTCGAGGCCCACGGGTCGAAAGTTTACTTTCGACCCGTGGGCCGAAAGTAAAAGTCAAAAAATACAATAAATTTTAAACATTTCATTTACTTTCGGCCCACGGGTCGAAAGTAAACTTTCGACCCGTGGGCCGAAAGTAAAAGTCAAAAAAGTGACATTTTCGAACTTTTTAAAAGTCAGTAAAGTCAACATTACATGTATGATTGTAAATAAACATAATAACTCTGTTCCAACACGTCAAAAAATCGTCCCATGAACGGTTTCGAAACCACTCAGTATAACAATTTTAGTTTCTGCGCAGAATCGTGACGGTACATTGTACGGTTTTCTGCTGTGTTGGAACAAAGCTAATATTATTCATTTCTTTTTTTTAAATGTTTATTCCTTTATCAGGAGACACAATAATTAAAATATTCCTGGTACACCATATTCTACAATGCATGTATCCAAACTTTTTTGGTAGAATCATTGGTAACGAAATTTCTGTTTTAGATCAACCAGGCCCTTCATGTCGTCAATTTTTATCTACTGAAACTTCTGCAATTCGGGCAGACATTGCTACACTAAGTGGAACCATCACATCTGCAAACATGAAAAAGTCACCAACCAACTTTGTCTCTTAAAACTTTTATTGGTAGGTACCTAAGTGTTATTGCTTAATGAATAACCACCCAGTTGGAAGTAGGTGAATTTTAAAACATCCTAACTCAAGTAGGACTACTACTATAAAAGACTACTAATTACTAAAACTTGCAGTCGAATGCTAGAAAAATTAGAAGCTAAATGTGCTCGTCTCCAATCTTGATCTATTTTTTTTTTGCAGGTCATGAGGGACAATGCCAAATTTTAAAGAACATTAACGTCACTAGGCAAAAAATTCCTATCCCCAAGGGAAAAATATCTTTATTCCAAAGTTATAGAATCCAGCAATAAGTTAAGAAGAATCAGTAGAAGGTTGTCGTCATTTAAATCCAAAGTTTCTACTGCTGAATAACTTGCATCATAAACCAAATTTCAAAGGGTCGTAGACCACGTCAATCCATTGATATACAGCTTTATTTTAAGCCAAGTCCGTACTCAAAACCAAAAGCCTAAAGCTAGACGATTTACATTGGACGAGAAGTTGTTGGCGTTATCTTTGCTTAAAGCTAGTGGTAAAGGGTATAGACTATTATCAAAAATATTTATTCTATCATCCAGGCGAAATCATTTTCTTGAATGAGCTTTATATTATGTATAACTACATAAACTTTCTACCTAACACATGCGGAAAGTGTATTTTCTGGACTTAAAGGCTTGTTTGAACTCTGCTTTTTGTTGTCATTCGTGCAACTTCCATCACGTGCAGAAACACTTTCCTCACTTGTTAGGTTAACAACGATTTTGGATTGTGAGAAAGGGACCTCTTTTGTCATTTTATTTGATTTAAGTTTTTCATCAAGCTATTGTTAAATGTACGTCATTACTTCTTGTAACTGTCCTTATTATCTTTAACTTAACTAGCATTACCTACCTATGTATGTATACTTACATGAAAAAAAACTGTTTCGCAATAATTGTAATTAATTCCATATTCTTTAATATTTTCTGTTTCAAACTTTAATAAATATCTAAATTTGTCATCTTAATTTTTAGTCAATTTTACCTTGAAGGCGCTTCAACACTACCCATTTTATGAGTTTCTTCATTTTGGCACAATTATTTTATGCCAAAAAATGGTAGAAACTTTAAAGTGGTGGTGTTGAATCGCTAGAATCAAACAATGGTGCGAACGATCCACCGGAACAAATAAGATACTGAACGAACCCTAATTGCGTTTTGCATTCGCCAATAAATCCATAATTACAAAAGCTTACCCCCCCAGTCACTAGAGGCGCTGAAAACTTATAGACAGAGACAGGTTCTCAACACGGCACTTACCTTTCTATTGTGAGTGTCACTTCGCAAATTGTCATCAGTGTGCAAACATCATCATTTTTTGACAGTTGTACAAAAAATGATATGTTTATAAGCGTAAATTTATATTTTTTTAATAAAGAATAAGTTAATCGAAAACTGTTTTTTTGCGTCTTTATGCCCGCGCGGGCCATAATGTGTACTTTATGCCCGCACGGGCATAAAGTAATGAATTATGTAGATGGTATCTAAGGTATAAAAACACAATAGTCAAAGTCAAAAATAGCTTTATTGATATAAGAATTATAACATCTCTTTATCAAAGCAAACTTAAAAATAAAAGTTGTAGCAAATACACGCTTAAAATTAAAAAAAAAAAAAATCATCAAATAAAATGAAACAAGACTGTGCTGCCAAAATACTCTTATAAAATAACTACATAGATTAAAATAACACATTAAAAGACATTAAAGGTAACATACTTAAATACTAGACATGTATAAAGTAATAAGTCAGTGAGTAAAATATAAGACAAACTAAACTGTAAACGAAAAGACACTAACCAAAGTATCACTGAAAAATTCAGCAACCGAATAGTAAGCCCTCCCAACCAGTATCCTCTTTACCTTCCCCCTAAATTGCTCTTTGTTGCATATCTCACGGACATTAGAAGGCAGGTGGTTAAAAAGCTTTTTACTATTATAGATAACAGATTTTTTTACTAGCGTTGTTAAGGGGATAGGTAGAGGAGCAATGTGCGATGACCGAGTTGCAGTTGATAAACTATCTGGAAGATAAATTAACTGTAGTCTGCTCAGCAAATAACTGGCCGACCAGTGGGATTACAAGTTGCGTTTTTATCCGTCCGATTTATCAGAAGGTGAGAAAAACCAGCCCTAATTAATCTTATTACATAATTTAAATTATATATATACTTAACATGAAAATAATATCACAATCAGTGGAATAAAATATTTAACTAATATTGAGGCAACTCCAGTTTGTCTGTTAGCTCCAGCAAATGTCTATTTTTCGACTTCAAACTTTTATTTGTCAGGTACTCTTTGATTTTCCCCTAAAAAAAATTACACATATTAATAGAGATTCGAAAATTTCAGTCAAATAATCAATAAGTCCCAGTATAATTTATTTATTAGCACTAAACAGAAATAATTAGATTTTTATAACACTTATTAGTAAGATGTAAATATAACGAGTGCAATGGAAATTATTGATAATTTTTGGGAAAGAAAGAGGCACGATTAACGTTGAAAATAGGCCCCTGTAAATTTCAATATTTTAAAGGTAGGTATCATTGCAAAAAAAAAATTAGAAATTTGAAGAGGATCATATGTCTACGATAGCAGATATGGCTCATCAAAGTACGTAGGTCCTGCTATGCTATGCATAGGAAATATCTGAGGAAATATTCCTATGTAGATTTTCATGAATATCTCGGAAAATACTAATCCGATTTTTGACGTTTTTGGGGTCCTTTTGTAGGTATAGGTCCAAAAAGGGAAAAATGTGCTCTTTACGTTTAAATTTTTTTTTACAATAATGATACCTTTGAAATATTGAAATTTACGGAAGCCTAGTTTCAATGTTAATTGTGTCTCCTTTGCCCGAATGCATTTTTACTTGAAAAAAAGCACTCGTGCACATAGTGCACGAGTGCCTTTTTCAGTTAAAAACACATGAGTGCAAATTTGTCGAAAATTATAGATATATTTCCATTGTACCTATAGTTTATTGTTTGAATGTCAGTTTTGACATATGAAATTATCGCAGTAAAAGCAAAATTTGTTAAAAGTGAATGGTAGTTTCCGTAAGCATTCCTGAACGAACGTCTATGGTGAAACCTGTACCACATGCCACATGGTTAATGCTCAGACAAAATCACATCCACTTTCTTTGTCTAACGCATAGCATGCTAAAGTCGCATTTGTGTTCCGTAGGCGGTATAAGGCCGAACACGTTTGGACCTATTTTGGTTTGATAAACACAGTGCCTGTGCAATAGAGATAGCAGCAAAAACCAACGTATGTGATATATTCGAATATGGACCTTCAACATTTGACATTCATTAGACTGAGTTTAGAGATCATATAGACGTCGTGGCCTGACGTCGGGCAGCAGGAGACACAAAACCTAATTTTTGAGATGCGCTTTTGGCGATGGAGATTGGTCATGCCAAGCCAAGTTGATAGATGCGGTCACCCCAAGAAGAAATACTGAGGGATTGATAAAAAAGTTTTGTCCTGACATCCTTATCATGGGTTATCATTGGCGGAATATTATTACCCTTTCAAGACTACATTTGCTTGAATTTTGGAATCAGATTTATTGAATTTAATTAGGTTGTCAAGGCCCCAGTTGGCTATGGTGTCAAGATCACTGTAGACTGTAGATAGAGTTAATCTGTTATCGGGCGAGGCGTGTGGAAGTGTCATAGTCTGGGAGACGACCGCAGTTTTCCTACCCCGATGGAGTTATGTGTCGACACTATTATCAATATATAGTATTATGGTATTCCTGCCTGAGAGCAAATGCTGCCGGAAATATCTTTTAACAAATTGAAAAAAACGTAACACTACCCCTATCGAGTTATGCTCTAAGTAGGGTATCAAATTGAAGGTCTCGATGTCCCCTATCCAAAAAGTCGATCCCTCGTGAGAACTTGCCGGAAAATGGTGGCAGGACAGCTTATTGGGGCAAGGGCCCGCGGTCTCTGCTTTGACACCTATCAAGCTTTGCACTAAATGATGTGTCAAATTAAAGGTGTCAATAAGTTGATTTAAGGTCTATTCGCACAGACCACAAACCAGTCAGAGCGAATTTCATTGGTTGGAAACAGTCAGGAAACTAGTTTCAACCAATGAAATTCACTCCTTCTGGTTTGGGATTTCTGTGCGAAGAGACCTTAAATCAATTTATTAACAACTTTTATTTACGACTAATGTATAATGTGCGTATTATATTTGTGATTTTGGCAGTATAATGACATATGTTATTCCTCCAGGGATTAATGACGAGTAGCGGGATTAATGGTCATTATTCCACAAAAGTGTCAGTGTCAAACGTGTAGTGCTTGTGGATTTGTATTGAAAATTATGAGACGGATGAAATTTGTTCATTGAAAATCTCAAATAAATTAATTTGTCGTAAATAAAGTAGAGTATACTACTCGCAATAATGGCTATTATTCCCTCGGAATGATACTCCCTTGCCGCTAACGCGGCTCAGTTCGTAATAATCCTCGGGAATAATAGCTATCATTATTGACTCGTGGTATAATCTACTATAATTTGACACATCATTCAGGGTAAAACTTGATAGGTGTCAAAGCTGAGACCGCGGGTCCTTGCCCCAATAAGCTGCCCTGCCACCCTTTTCCGGCAAGTTCTCACGAGGCAGGATCGACTTTTTAGATAGGGGACATCGAGACCTTCAATCTGATACCCTACTTAGGGTATAACTGGATAGGGGTAGTGTTACAATTTTTTCAATTTGTTAATAATTTGTTAAAAGATATTTCCGGCAGCATTTGCTCTCAGGCAGGAATACTGGTTAATAGATACACATAATACTATATGTATATTGATAATAGTGTCGACACATAACTCGATCGGGGTAGGAAAAATGCGGTCGTCTCCCTAACTATATGTATTAGAAGAAAATTCAAAAAACATGCAATATTGTTACAAATTTTATTTTACTGTATTTACTGTTATTATTGTTAAAATGGCTGGTCCGTTAATATAGTATTTATTTATTTATTTAGTTTATCAGAAGGTGAATAAACCGGTTCTAGTTAATATTATTACATAATTTAAATAATCTATGTAACATGAAAATAATATCACAATCAGTGGAATAATTTTTTTTACTAATATCGAGGCAACTCCAGTTTGTCTATTAGCTCCAGCAAATGTCTATTATTTGATTTCAAACTTTTGCTTGTCAGGTAATCTTTGATTTTTCCCTAAAAAAAAAAATTACAGATATTAATGGAATTTGAGAATTTCAATCAAATATATAAAGTATAGCTAATATTATGTTTAGAGTAATATTTCATTTACCATATACTTTATATCAGCATATCCATTTTTCAAGCATAAATTCCATAAATTGTGAGCAAGGCCACTAGTTTGGGGTACACTCAAATCTAAAATTCAAAAAAAATATGTTTGAACATTTGGAATATTTCATAATTTATCAATAAAAAATTCTTACCTGCTCTGATAGATATTTTCAAAAACAATTCTGCAGCTAGTTGAGATTGTTTCCGGCATTGACCTAATGCCTTGAGCAAATTAAGAATTTCTCCAATTATTATTGAAGTCATGCTGTCGATTTCTTCTATAAACCTCGGATCAGAACCCCACAGAGAATCATTAGAGCCAACTAAAATATATACAATTAAATTAAACATATTTTATAAAAAATAATTAGCCACTCACCTTTGTCAACATGATAAGGATAAACATCTTGTGCCATAATGGATAATAAATCGACAACATTAATATAAATATTGACCAAACAACAATTAGTTTGATTCCAGTCGAAGTTTCTCAAAACATTCAAAAGCATTCTAGTCAGGCTCAAGACTCCTCTTTCGGGATTATCGGGAACTACCAATAACGTAGACAAAAACTGACGAACAAATGGTAAAAGAAATCCTTCAGTATCCATGCAAGCTGGTAATTCTGGGATGACGGACAAAATTGCTTTGAAACAAGCGTCACCTTGTCCTAAGCAGTGATTGAAAAGTGCCACTTGGCCGGAAAGTAAATAAAGCTTCAGTCTTATTTTAGGAGATTCAATAGATGGAATTGTAATGAAACAATATGCAGCGCAAGCTCTTACAAAGTCTCCAGTTTTCCTTGTGTGCAGGCCTTTGATTATTTGTCGAGTATTGACTGCCAACAAATTAACACTTTGAACTAATTGTGATAAAACCGAGTCCAAATTGGCAAATGCTCCTCTAGCGTCAACATAAAACTGCAACTGTTGCTCAAAGTCATTTCCAAAATCGACCGCTCTTATTATGTTGCATAATATATCACCAATTTGTCTGAAAACGGGTATAAGCATTCCAGTAAATATGATGTAAATATGTGTACAAATATTTACCTATTTTCGTCTTCAGGTGTTATAGCATTTACAGAATCGTGCAAAATTGTCCCCAAAAACATAAGAGCGTTGGTGATGACTGCGTCGCTAGTTTTTTGTTCGTTGAAATAGTCCGAGGACAAAATTAGTTTGCATATTTCGACCTTTGTTGACTCTTCGCTGAAGAGGTCTATCAGAGGCAAGAAATTTTCCTAAAATAAAAAATAGCGTTTATACAGGGAAGTATTGTGAAATTGCTCTGTGAAATTCACGAAACACTTTATCAAAATTAGAATGATAAATTTTATTTTCGCATTAAATTGGTTTGGATTCATTTGTAAGGGTCAGCTCTTGATTAGCTAAAGGGAACTTGAAAAGAGAGGGAAATTGTGAATTGCTCTTGATGCTAAAGCCAAAATGTTATTTTGTGATGTTAATAATGAGAAGATGAAAAGTCAAGTTTTTCATCCTGTCATAACAAATAATATATAATAAGTTGTATTTGTGAGTTCCATTTTTGGTTCCAAATATAACGTTGTTTGAAGCTACAAATATCTTAGTCTTAATACACTGCAATTAATAATTCCAAGAGAAATCTTTCAGAAACTGGAAAAAATTATCTGAATTCAATCTCTTTGATTTATTAGGCGAATCCATTTTCTTATTGCCTTCATTTTTTTGAATCTTCTTTAATATCTCCTAATTTATCTTCAGTATCTATTTTAACTATTAAATTTATCTTCTACCTAAATCTAGGCAATGATTCAGGTGAGAAGTACCTAGGTATTTTTTATATTACGGATCAATGACCCCATATATCCGGAATACCACCCAATATCATTGAATCCATGGCTCAGCAGGGACAACCCGATACCTATAACAACCTTATTTCCATTAAATTCGATTGCTAAGCTAAGAAATATTTTATATATAAATTGTAGGCAATTAGATGTTAGAATTAGTTCCAATTCACATTACGTTCTCATAATAAATATTAATTTTTATTAAAGGGCTTTTTGAAAACATCCTTTTCCAGGGAAAACCCTTAATTGGCGCAGTCTGTAGTATAGTGGAAGAGTCCTCAAAGATCCTCGTCGATCGTGAACGTTTATCCGCTAGTAAACCATATCCCGAAGGAAACTTTAAAGTTCAATGCCTGGGTGACTTGTGATTTTAGTGTTAATATGCATCATTGCATCTTTTTATTACTGTAAGCATGTATGTCTACTGACGATTTACTAAAAAAACTCCAAGTTCTAAGTCTTACTGACTCGAATAACTTACCTATACTCCCCCCCGAAAGAAAACATACCTGCCAATCCCCTAATTTTCGACATGAAGAACCTGGCGATCGTTCCAGAATATAACGGGAATCCCAATTAACTCCACGACGTTACTACTGAATTATTACCTGAACAAGACCGATGTACGATGCTTTCAGAACCACATGCTTACTCAGGGCATCAAAAGCAAACCTACTGGTCGAGCAAAAGAAACTTTTTCGATCTATGGATGCCTCGACTGGGAAAGAATGAAAGGAGTACTAATACAAAACTTCGCCGACCAACGCAATGGGAATTCCCTTAGCCGAGACCTAGTTAACTCACGTTAGATGCCAAACGAATCTCCTCAACAATTCTATGAAAAAGTTATGGGACTTCTAAAACTCCAACATAATAATCCAGATGTCAAAACAGGTAAGAAACTTTTCTTCTATCAATACGCACTTAATACACATTCATGGCAAAACTAAGAAAACCATTAGGATCAAATAGCAGAGCTATGCGTCCGTACGAGTGCGACCTAGCTGCAGCAATGCAATTCATCCAGGAGGAAAACAAAATCAGATACTTCCAAAAAGGCTTTTCCATTCCACAACCTAGTGGCTCAAAAGCAAACCAACATAAATCATAATCAGAAAGCAGATAGTGATGCAATCCAGCCAGATTTTCTCGCAACAATTTAAACCTCAAAATTCTATCCAACAGCAGTTGTGGCCCACTTCTCCATTCCAGAGAGCAGATCCCATTCAACCAGACTTGTGAGCCTATTGTACAGCCTGCACGATTCCAGACTCCTCGACCACAGTTTAATGTCTGGCAAAGTACTCCAAACCGCAAGTTTCCGCAACCAACACCAGTGAGCACTAAATGACTATCAGCAGCAAGCATACGAGTAACACCAATACACTGAAGGAGGAAATTTTCGAGAAGTGGTCGATCCAAAAACAGAACCATAATAGAACTACATAATTATACCGGTCGGAAGGAGTTACAATACATATCCATCGCCAATCCACCTTTAAGGCTCCTTATAGATACCGGCATAACGAAATCATTTATCAAATCCAGACATAGCCTTTAAATACTTGAATCATTTCATCCACTATGAAACAATCATCATTACTTCAATTTTTCAAAATCACTCCCAGGACTATTGTGCTCACATTCCCATATTTCCAGAATTCAACTCAAATGAGAAGGCAAAATTTTACCTTTTTAAGTTCCATCAAACATTTGACGGCTTCATCGGACTCGATAACCTTAAGCTACTCCAAGCCAAATTGGATCTATCAGAGTCGTTACTTATCACAAAAAACACCATTCTCCCAATTGAATACTACGAAACGATCCAAACCCAATTCTATTCCATCCAACTGGCGCCTAACACCGTTTCCCGAGTACGGCTTCCAGTAGAAAAAACCGAGGGTACGATCCTTCTACCAAAACAAGAGCTCCAGGGCGCATAAATTAACGAAACACTCACATCTGCTTGTAATCAACTCGCTTGGACTGAAATTGTCAACACAACCGAAGAAGAACTTCAGGTACCTCTGACAAGTCCATCAGTCACTAAGCACGCAATTGAATCTCGATCAGTTTCATGTTTCATATCTACACCACGGATCTAATTTCTCAGGAATCTCCGTCACCACATGGCAAGATTCCTGAAATCAGAACTAATCACCTAAATTCGGAGGCAGAAAAAGCAATACGAAATTTATGTAGGAAGTATGTAGACATTTTTCATTATCCAGGCATGTCCCTGACCTTTACAAAACATATCAAACACCATATTAAAACAAATGATGAGATTCCAGTGTACACCAACTCACATAGCTATCCACATATCTATAAAGAGGAAGTGAAAAACCAAAAATCTTCAATGCTGGATCAATGAATAATCAGACCAAGCCAGTCACCTTGGTCTTACCCACCCGATATGGAGAGTTCCAATCTGGAAAAATGAAATGGCGGATAGCAGTGGACTATAGGAAAGTAAACGAGAAAACTATCGACGATAAATACCCATTTCCAAACATAACAGAAATTTTGAACAAACTTGGTAAATACTAATAGTTCATGGCCTTGGATCTGGCAATTTCCACCAAATGGAAATTGCTATAAGAATATGCAAAACTGCTTTCAATGTTGAAAGTGGCCTTTACGAGTATGTTTGGATGCCATTTGGACTAAAAAACGCTCCAACTACGTTCCAGAGGGTGATGGATAACGTTTTGAAAGGCCTCCAAAGAGAAAATTGCTTAGTGTACATTGTGTTCAGCACAACACTTCAAAAGCATGTGGTTTATCTTTCAGAAATCTTCAAACATCTCAAAGAAACCGCATTCTTCAATACCGCGAACCACGAAGGAAATCCGAGAATTTCTAGGCCTCCTTGAATATTACGGAAAAGTTTATCAAGGACTTCACTAAAATTAATAAATCCCTAACTTCCTGCCTCAAAAAGGACGCTAAAATAGAACTAACACCAGAATTTCTGAACTACATTAGAACTTGCAAAACTTTACTGACAAATAAACCTCAGCAAGTCTTCTAATCTATAACTACTAACTGATACTAGCAACTATGCGATTGGAGCTATATTATCTCAAGGACCAATCGGGAACTCGGCTATCACAAATTTCACTAATAAACCGTTCCAGAACCGTCCTGTTTTCAAACCAAAACAAAGCTTAGGACACTCGACGAAACCGAGTTGAAATATTCCGTACCATAAGATGTATGTAGGTATTTTATAGGTTTTTTTTGTTTGTTTCTTTTTTTTTTCGTTCCTGTTTTGAACTGTGCTAGTGATTTTCCTATGTGATTTTTATTGTTTCTTTGTTTGTTTAATTATTTTATTGTTTGACGATAATTTTATTAGATTGTATTCTACCAGCCGGTAGAACCAGCTGCATTCAGAAAGAACTATAGTAAGTGCGATCATCTCCGGACGATGACACTGCTTATGGAGAAAGTCACAGAGTACAACCTTAACATCTGCCTTATGGCACTTATGAATATCTTAAGGGACGCACGCATTGATCACAGATACAGGTACCCAGCTTTTAGAAAGTATATATTGTTTGCCCAGCGGATCTGAGTCTACGGAAGGAATTCAGACGTAAATGTGCCAAGTATAGTTAATTTGAAAATTCATTTTTTAATAACAAAATCTTGATAACAATAATAAAACGCCAAATATTTTAACGTGGTTGTTAGATCTATCCTTATTTTAATCCTGATTTTTTCAATTTGGTCTATTGTAAAGAATAAACATTTTCTAAAGATACCATCAGCTTTTGACAATTTGGCAAGCATCCTTCCTGGATGAACCTGATTGGTGGAGTTTTTGGCAGGATCGCCGTTGTCATGGGGAACCATACGGTTGTCAATGAGCTAACGTCACCTTACGTCTCGCTATTGGCCAGGGCTCACGTCATTTTATCCTCCCATTTTGGAATATCGATTTATATTGAAATATCCAGTGGCGGAGATTTGGTCATTGCTGATTTTCGTGTACGAGTTGCAATACGATAACACTTCCAAAAAGTTCCGCACGCAGCTGGGTATTTTATGAATGAAATCAGCCATTTTTTTTTACAACTGCATTCCCCTTACCGTTGCCCCGTAGACACAGATTCGCTGGGCGGACATTATTGTACCAGATGTCCCACCGAAAACTGTCAATGTCCTATATCTTGAAAACGGTAAGCGATTTTAAAAAAAATGAAAAACCCGTTTGGAGGGTTGGAAGGTGGAGCCAAAACAAGGTACTTTTCAGGTCTCCTTGAATTACCCCTCCGGCCGTAGCTACCCTAACCACAAAATCTCAAATGGCACTATGGGTCATGTGCTATCTTGTTTTAAAAGTCTTTTAATTCTCTTGATGGATCTGCAAAAAAAAATTATCCAGAATTAAATGTGACTCTCATTTTGATGAAAATCTTATTTGATCGGGTGGAACAGGTAAATGTGATTTAAAATCGATTTTATGCAAAATTAATTACAGCATGAATATTTTTGAAGAAATCATCATGATTTTATTTTTTTGGACCCCTTTCCCTTCACTGTACCTGACAGTGTTTGTTCACCAAAATGACATCAAAACACAGATAGACGGAACAATAAACAAAATTTTCGTATGACAACATCTCTCTGTCTCTTTTGGGTCTTTGTGCTATCCCCACCACTGAGAATGCCAAATTTTGTCTTGAATCCCTAAATAATATATTTTTCTCCTTTTCTAATTAACGTTTTCAATTTTATTTCTGAACTCAATTTGGCAACAGCAGATTGTAGCAAAACACCGCCCAGAAGCGGCTTGTCGAATGGCAGGCAGGTGTTGGTTGGAGTAGCTATCTTTATCGCAAACAGGAATTATTCATTAGCGTTAAACAAGAAACGACCAATACGATATTGGTACTCCCAGAATAAAGAGCTCGTATCGAATATTTTCAATTTATTTGTCAATTTGTTATTTGATTTATTCATCCAATTAAATTTCGAGATATTATATTCACGTGTGGGCGGGGTTTTTTACACCATTTTGAGCAATGATGTCTCCCTACCCCGACCCCGCGAGAAACTCACCTCCCTTGGCCCATGGGTGGTCTTGTCAATACAACAAATATCAGTTTATGAATGGGATGATCCGTCTATCTGTGTTTTGATGTCATTGGTTCACCACCTCACCTCAAGAGATCAAAGTTGTTAACTCGAAGCATGCACCATTTTGTGACAACTTAAATTTGTATCTAGACAATTTTTTTTTGCAGATTCGTTTAGAGAATTAAAAAACCTTTCAAACAAGGTATCACATGACCCATAGTGCCACTTAAGATTTTGAGGTTAGGGTAGCTACGGCCGGAGGGGTGATTCAGGGAGACCTGAAAAGTACCTTGTTTTGGTTCCCCCTTCCAACCTATCCGCCAGGGAGATACTATATCACCTAAACTATTTAATTTGGCTCTTGAGGGAGCATTTCGGCGTGTTCAATGGGAACAGAAGGATATACTAATCAATGGAGAACGACTTACCCGCTTGAGGTTTGCCGATGATGTGGTGCTTATTGCGGAGAATCGGGACGACCTACGGGAAATACTGCTTGAAGTGAATGCAGAGCTGGGCACGATCGGACTACAAATGAACTTAATTATAACCAAAATAATATGCAAAGATACCCAAATAATTATTAAGGACCGACCCATTGAAAAAGTAGAAAGCTATACGTATCTTGCGCACCAACTGAAACTGGGGAAAGAAAACCAGACCATCGAGATATACCGCAGAAGAAGAATAGAATGGACAGCATTTGAAAGACTTGCGTATATTCTAAAAAATCAGAAAATCCCCTTAAGATCGAGATCAAGACTATTTGATCAGTGCATTCTTCCTGTACTGATCTATGGATGTCAAACATGGACATTAATAAAACTAACAATGACCAAAATTGCCGTAACCCAAAGATACATGGAAAGACAAATGCTGGGAATATCGTTGAGGGACAGAAAAACCAACAAATGGATTAGAAACACTACGAAAGTCAGAGATGTGATCGAAACCATTGCCACTCAAAAATGGAACAATGCCGGACACATAGTCAGATGTACAGACGCGAGATGGAATAACAGATTGTTGCACTATGGAGACCATACCTAGAACGACGAAATAGAGGACGACCACCAATGCGCTGGACAAACGACATAAAACTAACAGCAGAGTTCAATTGGATAGAAGAAGGAGATGGTGCTATATGAGGGATGCCTATGTTCAGAAATGGACTGTGTAGAGAGGCGATTGCGATTGAGATTGAGATTCTTAACGGTATTTTGTCAATCTCAATTTATAATTGAGCGCTCAATGTATTGATAGGGTAATAACATTTTTTGTTTATTTATTTTTTTCTCTTTCAACTATTGTTAATGTTACCGCTTCGTCAATGAAATGCTCATTTTCGACAATAAAGCTTATTTTCATTTGATTTGATTGAAAAGGAAATGTTAGCCATAATCTGGGCCACTAATTACTTCTGACCCTACTTGTATGGAAGAACTGTGGAAGCTGTGTCGCAACCAGTGAAAGAATGAAAAGCCAACAAATTTCTGCAACTTTCCGGTGAGAGTGTGGCACAAATCTTATGAATTTCAATAGATTTTCTGTATTTCTCACACCCATACTCAATCCATAGTTCAGCAATATCTTGTATTTGTGGGAACAGTGATATTGAAATAACCACTAAATCTGAGTCCTCAGTTCGAATTAAGAACGAAGTATGTCCACTTTCTACTGCATACTTAACATGGAGAAGTAAACGGCCATCTGCTTTTTCGTGTGAGGCGGGAGAAATGCTTGAAACATCCATAGTTGTTGACGTGAGGACTTGGTCATCAAAAGTACAGACAACATTTTTTTCTGGATACTCGTCTCTCAGCAACTGGAAAAATTGCGTCTTATTTCCGTTAACATATAGGAATTGCTTTAAAAAAAATTGAAATTCTAGTTGAGTCTGACACTTTAATACTTATGCCACTTCCTCTAGTTTCTCGGGTATCTGCCTTCAAATTGTTACTAACATATTTGTCGAATACAGCATCTTTTCGTGAACTATTTATTCTTCAGTTGATTTGTGAAATATGGTTTGAAAATATGTTTATAGTATTCGGAAAATGTACTAGCATGTGCAGGATTAAGCATGTGTATTACAGCTGCTCCATCAAATATTTTAGTTGTTACATTCGGTTGGCTGGGATTAAGAAAGCTAATGTCACATTTTGTTTGAATGCAGTCAATAATATCCGACTCCGACTTGTTGGTTGGTTTACTGAATTTTCCATCATCTGAAATAGATGGGGGTACATTTGGTTTTCATGCGAAAAGAACTCATCAATGTTGCCATCCCGTGCTTCAGATGCGACAAACAATATACAGAACAAGTTGGAATCTTTACGCAAGTTAGCATTCTTGGATTTTGACTTATCTTGTAACAGTCTTGAAGATGTGAATATTGGTCCGAGGAATAAGTTCATGGATTGAATTTTGAACTTGATCGAGACGGAACGAGATATATTCATCATACTGCTTCAGTCCTGAAGTAAATGCTTCCGTAACACGCACTTCACAGCTTCGATACTTGGAATTATTTTGGAGCTCCCTATTGACACCAAATTAGTTTCTTCAAAGGAATTTCCTTGTTCGATTAAGATATTAATCATTTTTTAACATGAGCCAAAATAATGATGATTTTGTAAATTTTGATGTAGATGGAGTTTGGTTTGAGCAAGATGGAAGCTTTTTCGGTTTCTTTTCACAAGATAGTTTTTCCGCCATTTGACTGTCATATTTGTTCTTGCAAGATTTGTGATATTTTGCTGCATGGGTTACTAGTGATTGTGAAAGACCACGCCCATCGTTCAAGTCCTTTCCTATACCACTTGGAAGCTGACCATGTTCAGCAAAATTGCAAGATTCTTTGCCATGGTTAAATAACTTTCATGCTTCGGAATAATAGGTTTGTTCCAACCCGTCAAAAAACCATCCCAGAACGGTTTTGAAACCACTCTGTATACGAATTTTGGTTTCTATGCATAAATTTTAGGTTTTGCGCAGAATCCTGACGGTAATATTACGGTTTCCTGCTGGGTTGGAACAAAGCCAATCAAACGCTCTCTTTTGAATGCTTCTGGCATGTTGCCATAACAACTTGCTGTACTACATTGTTTTGACACAATCTGAGCAACTTTTGCTTAGAAAATAGAAGTTATACATACTGTTCGAAAGTTTTTTTCACTCACAAAAAAGTATACAACACATTTTCAGCCAAATATAACGGATTCCAAGTTATTTAACATAATGCTTCGTAAAAATGAAAATAAAACTCAACAATTTTAATAAAGTTGCAAGTAATTCTGGTATTATGTGCGTGATTATGTCATCAACGCCGCTTTAGTGTCAAAAAAATGTGTATCCTGGGCCTTTTGAACTCGTCTACCCAAATACTATCTGAACCCAGAAGGGCGCATCGGTTGCCAGATCTGAAACTTTTCTTACCTATCTCACCCCACTATTACAAAACTTCTCCGGGGAAGGGAAAAATTATGATTCAATGACCCTATATATCCGGAAAACCACCGAATATCAGCAGCGACAACCGTATAGAACAACCTAATTTTGATTAAATTCTTACATTCTAAGCTAAGCAATATTTTATATATAAATTGTAGGCAATTAGATGTTCGAATGTGTTCTCGTAATAAATATTAATTTTTATTAAAGAGCTTTTCAAAAGCACCCTTTTTCTAGAAATCATCAACTTACCATAGCTAAAAGAGATTCGAAATCAGAAGTATGCTGGACAAGTTTTTGTACAATATTTCTAAGTTCAACAGAGTGATTTTCATAGCATCTATTTGGTACCATATGATCTATGATGTCACTTAAGACTGTGTTGAGTTCTCTCGTCTAAAAAATTAATAAATGGAAGGACTAATTAGAAATTAATAGCACTAAAGAAGTTCTTACTGAGAAATTCTGCGCAATAAACTGCACCCAAACTTCAATACAACTTATATATTCAGCAGGTTTGGAAAGTTGAGCAACATTACTCCAAACGGCGTTCAATATTGGTTTGTGGTGTTCGGCGGGCGGTGAGCATACAGTTACGCACAAACCCAAAGTTCTTAGGAGAGAATGTAGCGGAATCCCATCGTCGGTACATTGACCAATCATAGACAAGAACTGGAGTGTTCTTTCGGCAACGTAAGTGGGTTTAAATCCTGACATTATGGTGTTCAATATGAGAGAACTGAAATTTTACTGGAATGTTGAAATGTTCCAATAAGAAAATAAAAGGCACCAGAGACCATTGACTACAGAAAATGTATACATATTTAGTTTAGTTCTAATTTCATTGTTTCTGCTGCTACATCTTTTGAAATTATTTAGAGCCTAGCATGTGTTCCTCTTAAAAGTTAATGGAAAATATCAACTCAATAAATCAATTAATTTAAAAATATTATCCAGCAAATTTAAAACCTCTTTTGTTTCTGACTCCTTTGCATTGAGTACACCTACCTGTTGCTATACCGCTTACATTTCGCTAACAAATCAGACAAAATACTTTCCGGTAAATGATTCACCATAGATTCCATGATAAAGTCCAAAGCAGGAGTGTACAATGTCATATACGTCCCTAATGTGATTTTTTGTTTGTGCAATTCACCTTTGACACTTCTACTGAAAATCTTAAACCAAAATTAAATTAGTAAATACTTATAAAAGAAAAACTACACATACATGTTGATAAGTCTCCAAAAAATACTCGAAATTATTCTTCAAATAATTCATTTCACATCCTTTAGTTGTTACACTAAGGCCCACTCTGCACAAATAACATCTGGCATAAATTGCTACCAAAGGATTACCTATGCCTTGAATTATTTCCGTTAATCTAGATAAAGCTTCAGGATATTCACTAAAAAAAATCTATATGTATATTTTTTCTCAACTTCATAATTATTGTCCTCACTTTATAGAAATAAAATTATAAGAACTAAGAAGAGCCATTTCAACATATAAACGAGGCACCAATTCTCTGATAGAAGCAATTTTAAAGAACCAATTTAAACATGTTTCTTTTGCTGTGTCCGGAACCATGTCTGGAGTGAAATTTTCTGGCAAGGGAGTTGGGATTTTAGAGCCAGGTCTAAAAATATACTTTTTTATTGAAATTATTTTTACAATGAACAAAAATATTACTTGTAATATTCTGCTTTAGTTCTGAGCCTTTCGTAAACTAATTTTCCAAAACAATCCAAAATATCTGTTATCAAAACAAATTTGCTCGGATAAAAAGGTAATACGTCTGTATCAGCTAACATTTTAGCACACTGTATGGCTATTTTCAAGGATTTCACTCTTTGTTCTGAGTTCCAAGCATGTACCAACTCTCTAAAAAAAAAAAAGTCGTATGTACAATTTTCCAATGAGTCAAAATTTCGTTTACTTATTAAGTTGTTCAATTTTGTGTAAATATTCAGCTTGGGAAAGATCTAATTTTCTTTGAGGCCCTTCTTCAAAACTGTCAAGTTGTTCCAGACGATGTTGAACTTTATCGACTGCAGTGCTTTGAGCTTTTACAACAACTTTTTCTCCTTCCATTAAAAAACTGGTTACCATAGACAGTTTCTCTGATGTGGTGTATTTTTGTAAAATAGCAGCTTTTTTATGAGACCAATGATCAGTTTTTATTAATTGTTTTTCTTTTGGGATCATTTTAACATCTTTTTTGGTGAAGGTAGCATCAACCACGTCCTTGAAAATACAATTTCTAGCATTAAACAAGTATTACTTTATAGAGAAAGTTACCATTTCTGCAGCCATTTTAGACAAAGGATCCATTTCCTCTTGAATAAGCTCTGTGAGCGGATCTAGTTTCTTTAAGGCTTGCGCTAGTGGATCAGTGAAGGTGACGGGGGTTGACACTGGTGTAGTGCGACCAGTGCTGGGAGTTGAGCCCAAAATTCTACGCGGAATTCTTTCCATAACCTATAGAAAAACATCATGCACATTCTTAGAGAGGTGGAAGTTTTAAAAAAATTAGTTTTGGAAAATAACGCAAAATTACTGGATAGTTACATATTAGCGGGTTGTGTAAACCAAATGACCCGAGTTATTAAAAAAGTAAATCAGATATTTGAGGAAATAAAAAACAAAAAGATGGTGAAGAAGATATTGATGGTTTTTTTGGAATTGAGGAAATTAAGAACAAGAAGATGGTAAAGAAGAGATTGATGAATTTCTTGGAAAATAGTAAAATATTAAAACATGTCCAATTTGGGTTTTTTCCGGGTGAAAATACAAATGACCCCATTTTCTATTTACTCAATTTCGTTTACATTTTTGCGGATGATACCTACTAGTCTTCTTTGACATGATAAAAATAGGGACGACCTACAAAATAACTGTTAATAGCTACCTACAACTTGAGCTTTAGTGTAAGCAAATTTATTTTGCTTTAATGTAGAGAAATCAGCATAATCATATTTGAATTTTGTTTCAATTATATGTATCTGGATGATAAAATTGCAGAAGATAAACCCACTACAAAATTACCAGGTCTCACCATTGATAAGCTTAGGTTTGAGGATCGCATAAAGCTATTAAGAAAGAAGTTGGTTGATTTGCAATCAGAATAGTTTCTAATGAGCTTAGTCACTATATGAGTTTCATGTGATATTTGTTTTACAAAAAATTGTAAATCGTAATTTGGAAAAAGGGTAATTTTTTGGCCTACAATGTCAAAAGATGTAAAACTAAAAGGATAGAGTCATGTTATACCTACATGCCGAAAATTTGCTACATCTCAAACACCAGAACTATTAATATGCCATAACACATACCATTAAGTTATTAATTACCATGGAATAGAGTAGAATGTGACCATTTTGAACTGAACAGGGTGTCCGTTTTAAGTGTTACCACTATTGATATGTAACCGACCTCGTACTTCTTACCGTTTTAGAGATAGCCATAGTGGTATTACTTAAAACGGGAACCATGTATATTAGAAATAAGATTTTTATAAACATCAGTCAAATGAATAGCAATGTAGACAAAGGTGTAAAAGATAAAAATAAAACAAGACAATCTTTTTATGTAAAATAGGAAGGAGATAGCCACCCAATATTTTATACCATGGTTTAATAAAAACCGAGATTAAAACTTTATGGCAAAACATTTTTATACACGGTGTCGCACCATACATGAAAAACTCTCAATGGAAAAACTGTATAAAGGACAATTTTGAAAATTTGACAGTATACTAACATCAATGGGGCAACCAGCAACATAGCTAAAATATTTTCAAGATGGTGACACCTCTGGTTTTACTGAAAGTGAACTCCAACTTGCTTATTTTAAATGAAACACCCTCTACCTATATTATTTCATTTTTGGTTTTCACTCCCCTATACCTAAGTGAGCATTATTTTTTGACATACATGTCTATTATAGTTATTAATGATACTAGTTCGATATGAACACCATAATGAAACGCGTGTAACGTTAAACCACGAGGCGTCAGCCCTGTGGTTTAGTTACACAAGTTTCATTAATTAAGTTCATATCGAACGTGTATCATTCAAAATTTAATCTACGATGGTCCAAATAGATTTGATTTGCCTTGAAATAGCAAATACTTTTCAAATTAAAATTCAAAATTTAGCAGGTGCCCGTACTAGTCGGGAACCTGCTTGTTGATTTTTAGTATTTTGACTTTGGCAGCTTCAATATTGGAGTCAATTTTTGTGCCATAAACTCAGTTTTATAGTGGAAAATAATGTTAATATTGGTGATTCTGAGTTCGAAAGTGTCCCTTTAAATATCCAAACAGCATCAGTGAAAAGGTTCTTCTGATAACTAGCTTTCTTTTTGTATATTTTTCATTTCATAATTTGGATGTTTTTATGAATTCTTAAACGCACTAGTGCTATTATGAAGGACCTAATGGCATTCAAATGACAATGCTAAATGTGTCATAATGTCACCGACGTAGATTAATATATTAATAATATTAATAATTACTTTATTGAATGTATAAATTATTCACAATATATAACATATCTATAATATTTTTAGTTAAGTTAACAAATACAATTGCTATACATTACAATGCAATTGATCTTGATTCACTATTCACTTCACAGAAATTGAAGTTGCAACACCTAGATGATAAGTCATCTGTATGTATTGCGTTCAGTAGAAAAACTGGTATCTATGTTTGTATATAGCTTCAAAAAACGGTCAAAAAAAAGATCACAAACTATATTTATATAATGGCAACTATCTAACATGGACAGTGTAAGCTATCCTAGAAAAGAGCTTCAAATTTATACCAATTAGTATCAACATACTTTTTACATTCATGCCTAAATATCTTAATTCTATTTATGCTTCTAATTTCTGTTGGTAAAATATTATAACACTTAGGTGCTAGACAATTTATAGATCTGATGCTTATATTTCTATTGCTAGTGGGAACAACTAGGTTTTTATTTAATTTACTTCGTGTGTCATACAAATGATTTACAAAGTTTTTCAAATAGTTTGTTTTATACACAAATACAAATAAATATGACATAAAATAATTTATGTCATACCAATACATTATTGTCTTTTTATACCTTAGATACCATCTACATAATTCATTACTTTATGCCCGTGCGGGCATAAAGTACACATTATGGCCCGCGCGGGCATAAAGACGCAAAAAACAGTTTTCAATTAACTTATTCTTTATCAACAAAATATAAATTTACGCTTATAAACATATTATTTTTGTCAAAAAATGATGATTCTGCACACTGATGACAATTTGCGAAGTGACACTTTTTTCCCAGGTATTTATTATTCACAACCAACTGGTATGACATAAAAGTTTGTATGCACCACGGGTACTAATAGATTTATATACCCTCGGGCGACTTACGAACCCTCGGGCCAGAGGCCCTCGGCTTTGTAAGACTGTCGCCCTCAGGGCATAATCATCTACTTAGTACCCTTGATACATAAATAACTATAAAGTCTGTTTTTTATTTAAAGATAAAAGTCAAAATGACATTATGTTGGCAATACAATGTGAAATTGTTAATGCTTTTTGTTGGAAACATGTTCCAACAATCATGCTATCTCTTTTTGATGGCAAAATATTTTTATACATATAAAGTTTGCAACACTGCAGCGTTGTCGTCATGTCTATTTTGTCATGTCTGTCAATATATTGCGCGCCATTTTTGTCATTGCAGCAGTGTAGCTTGGAGCTTGTCCACGTTAACAAGCATCCAGAAACCTTTTCACATTTTAATAAATTTTTTATATTTTGGTGTCATATCGAAGTCTTTTCGACACTAAAAGTAGTTTCGAAAAGAAGCTCTTTGTGACACTCCTTTTTTACTTATCGGAGGTTGGTAACACTAGCTGATTGATGGCCATTGAACTGTCATTCGCGATAAAAAATAATAGAAGATTTCTATATTTGGCATGTAGTGTTGCCAACCTAAACATATGAAATCAGGAAATATGAGAATAAAATGTCCAAGAAAAGATTGTTTTTTTCAATTAAACAATACCAAAATAGAAAAAATAGTATAAAATATTCGTTTCATAAGTCATTTTATGTGCAGTCTGCACGTGTCTCAAACAACGTTGGGTTCCACGTGCCACCAGCGAAGGTTTCCGCCGGAACCGGAAGTGCGTAAGTAGAGTGGGGCGGAGCAAACAAACTTCACTTGTCAAATTCAAAAGGGTGCTTCTTTTTCTCGTCTGGTTCAACCCAAGTCACCCCGGGTGCAGTATCCTTGCTTGGTGCAATGAAGTACAGCCCCGGAGCAACGAACATGAAAGTGAGAGTTCACCACCCCGACAGCTTAACCTCAAATTAAATGTCAAACATTTGTTTACGTTTTGTTGTTTGTTGTTTGTGTATTTTGGATTTTTGCAGTGAATTTGAGTGAATTTGCATTATTTTTGAAAAACTGAATTTTTCGCATTAATTATTGCTATTTTTTCATTATTTATTTAAAGGATGAACAATTATCCGTTTTTCGTTTTGTTAAGTAGTTTTTAAAAAAAAAAAAAATCTAATTTATTAGGTAATTTTAAATTTTGTTTATAGATTTCTTTTGATATTTTCTTATTTTTTTGATTGTAAACTTTGTAAATATGGCTACCAAAAAGCAAATTGATAAATTATTGTCAAAGAAAAAGCAAGCAATCGACTCCATGGTTAGAATAAGTCGTTATATTTCCGATCACAAATCTGATCCTGACAGTGAGTATAAAACCGACCAATTTTTAGTTCGGAAGGAAATATTGCAGGACAGTTTTCAAAAGCTTAAAGACATTCAAGTTGAAATTCTGTGCCTTGATGGTAACTATGATGATTCAATTGATGATGTAGAAACTCTTTTTTATGATGTCATTGTAAGTATTAAAAATTGTTTACCTAAATCTAATTTACCAGGACCAGCTAATACTAGTAATTTAGCAACTAATATTGCTCAATCGGTTTCAATTCCACCTACTCAAAGTAATAATTTTATTTCTGCTGCTAAATTGCCCCCAATCGAGATACCTACCTTTGATGGAAAAAATTTAACCAATTTCAAATCTTTTATCGATATATTTAATGCTGTCATCGATAAAAATCAACAGTTAAAAGATGTTGAAAAGCTCTTTTATTTGAGAAATTATTTGAAGGGTGAGGCTTTAAGCTTAATTGATAATCTGCCACTAATAAATTCTTCATATCAAGGTGCCATAGATATTTTAAATAACAGATTTAATAATGAAACTATGATCATAAATTCACATATTTTTTCTATTTTGGATATTCCTGCCATACAAAAAGGTACAGCTCATGCACTTAGAGATTTTGTAAGTCGCATCAAGCAGCAAATTGGAGCTCTCAAAAACCTAGCCGAGCCTGTTGACAACTGGGACATGGTGATGATTTGTATTTTAAGTAGAAAAGTTGACCAATTTACCAA